TTTTTTTATTGGCCAAGGGAGTTGGCACAGAAAGAACGTTCTTTGTTGTGCTTTTTTGATGACGTTTTTGATGTTAGCTGTCCATTTTAGATCTTGAGATATGGTAGAACCTAGAAATTTGAAGGTCTCTACTGTTGATGCTGTGTTGTCTAGTATTGTAAGAATTCTAGCTCAACATCACGTGAAAAGACAGCTCCAGTGTAAGGTTGGAGAATAACTAACGACTGTAATGTTCATCTAATACACAAATCTTACACCTATATGTAAATTGGCTGTATAGATACAACCGACTTACAGCGGTTCATTTAGTGACCATTCAGAGTTAAACCGCACTTGAAAAAATGTGATTTATGACCGATTTTTCTACTTGCAACCATCGCAGCATCCCCACAATCACGTGATGAAAACCTCTTGGTAACCAACTATATTTATGACAGTCGAAGTGTCCTGGCGGGATCACGTGATCTCCTTTTGTGACAGGCAAAGGCGATGGGGAAGCCGGATTCACTTAACAGCCAACCGGGCCACTAAGTTGAGCAACCGTAGTGATGCGCGTAACAACTCTGCCAAGAAAGGTTGTAAAAATGGGTCGAAACTCACGTAGCAACGTCTTTGCTCAGCTGCAGAAATTCGGGTCTCCGTTACGGTCATAAGTCGGGGGCCTACCTGTACCATAGTCACGGAACGGAACCCAGGATGGACTCCAGCCTTCTCTTTGGGTTTCAGAGATGCGACTCGGGGCACATCGTTTGAGAGACTCCACACCGACCTGCTCTTGCTGAAAGAATAGCTCTCTGCACGACGACAACAACTTTTTCTTGCACCTGCGCCTACTTGTGAATTATTCGTGCGGTGCCAAAAAAAAAAAAAAAGTATTTTGAGACGCATGAGTTGTGTTTCTAAAAATATTTGCTGCAGTTAGGTTCTTCTAGGGGTGAAATCCAGCAGGTTCTGACAGGTTCTGACGAACCGGTAGTGGAAATTTTGAGCTGTTTGGAGAACCGGCAAATACCACCTCTGGCTGGCCCCAGAGTGGGGTGGGAATGGGGATTTTGCAGTATCCTTCCCCCAGGAGTGGGGAGGGAATGGGGATTTTGCAGTATCCTTCTCCCAGGAGTGGGGTGGGAATGGGGATTTTGCAGTATCCTTCTCCCAGGAGTGGGGTGGGAATGGGGATTTTGCAGTATCCTTCCCCCAGGTGGGGTGGGAATGGGGATTTTGCAGTATCCTTCCCCCAGGAGTGGGGAGGGAATGGGATTTTGCAGTATCCTTCCCCCTGCCACATGCCCACAAAGCCACACCCACAGAACCAGTAGTAAAAAAAAATTGGATTTCACCACTGGGTTCTTCTATACATAAGTTTTACAAAGGGAAGCTTTGATGGATCAGTTTAGGATGGATCCGGCCAGCAGGAGGGGACCAGAGGATGGGTGGGCCTCTGTTTGCAATTAACGAATGATAGAACAGAAAATACGATTTATCTTTGGTCTCCCAATTCCCTAAAGCTACTTCAGTCCCGCAGAAATCAATCCCTCTAATTAGTGAGTATTTTCACCCTTCATTTTCTGGGTCTTTTTCCTTCTTGGGGTGTTCGATATTCAACCAGCTCAAAGAAAGATTCGCATCCAACTTGTTTCTCTCCTGCCTGACCAGTTTTAATACACAAATCAGTACTCAAAGGAGATCAACGCCTTTCCTGCCAGGGCAGTGAATTGTGATTTGCGTTGCCATAAATTAAAGAGAGGAGGTCAGTCCCGTCCCGTCCCCCCCGCTTCTGGGCTGTGTAAAATATTGAGAATCCCTGCAGGATAGGATCTGGGCTTCTTTGTAACCTGGAGAATTGATGGTCAATGCTGAATTTCTTGCAGGAATGTGGCATGATTTAAGGGTGAGTTGCAGGAAAAATTAAACGTGTATTGCACACTTCGGGTAACAATGTCCTTTCCAGCCTGTATCCGCAACTCAATCCTACTTTAACTTGAATGAGCTGCGATGGCACGCTGGTCACAGTGCAGTACTGCAGGCTACTTCTGCCGACTGCCAGCTGCCTGCAGTTTGACAGTTCGATTCTCAGCAGGCTCAAGGTTGACTCAGCCTTCCGTCCTTCCGAGGTGGGTCAAATGAGAACCCAGATTGTTGGGGGCAAGAGGCTGACTCTGTAAACCTCTTAGAGAGGGCTGCAAAGTACTGTCAAATGGTATATAAGTCTGCTATTGCTTGGGAGAAGGAAGGAAGGAAGGAAAGGAAGGAAGGCAGGCAGGAAGGAAGGCAGGAAGGAAGGAAGGAAGGCAGGAAGGAAGGAAGGAAGGAAGGAAGCCATTGTGGCGCATTTGTTACAATGCAGTGTTGCAGGCTAACTCTGCCCACTGCCAGGAGTTCGATCCTGACTGGCTCAAGGTTGACTCAGCCTTCCATCCTTCGAGGTGGGTCAAATGAGGACCCAGATTGTTGGGGGCAAGAGGCTGACTCTGTAAACCTCTTAGAGAGGGCTGGAAAGCACTGTGAAGCGGTATATAAGTCTTAAGTGCTAAGTGGGAAGGAAGGAAGGAAGGAAAGAAAAAAAAACACCTCTGCCAGAAAATCCATCTTTTCAGCAAGTGTGTTAACTTGACAAGCTGTCAGAAGCTTAGCTTCATTTAATCATGCTTTTGTCTTTGGGGAGATGTCAGTACAAATGTCATTCAGAGTGTGGCAGATATTTTTCTAAATTATTGTTCTGTGGAGGAGCCATCAGCCCGTTCCAGAGGTAATAGAAAAGAGGATCAGTCCTGCAGAAGCAGATAATAATTTTCAGAGCAGGTCCTTGCCCAAAAAGGGGCTTCTATATTTATTTATTTACGGACTTATTTACAGGAGTTGTATGTTACTCCAATTATGACATCCGGGTGGCTAATAATGATGATGATAATTATAATAATAATGATAATGATGATGATATCAGCATAGAAAGGTGAAATCAAAAATTAAAAACTAGCGAAATAGAATGAATACTATAATATTGACATAAAAGCTATCCATCAACACAGAATCGTTATGAAATGAAGCGGTTCCTGGGCACAATAGATAGGAGCAGATTGCCCAACCACCTGGTCTCCAAAATCCAGCTCAAAGGATGCCAGGAAAGGAATAATGTGCTATTTTTCATTTTTATATTAATTTTTGAACAAGGTTGCGGTTGAGTTGCCAGCAGTGATGGGGGAATGTTCTTTCTGGCACTTTTCTCTTGAGGCGGAAACTCTTCATCTATTGGACTCTTTTTATCTTCTGCCTAGATATTTTGGGCAATGGATTTGCCCCTGGAAATGGTATGAGCTGGCTAGTCAGGGAATCTAGGTGAAATCCAGTGGATCATCCTGAGAAGATCTGTGGGGATTAATTGCCCAACCCCTGAGTAGAAGGGGTTAATTCTTAGAGCACTTCTACTGCATTGTAAAACAATAAGTTGTCTATTCATTGGTGCCCCCCTCTTTCTCTCTCTCCCTCTCATTCCCTCTCTCTTTCTCTTTCTCTTTCTTTCTCTCTCCCTCTTTCTCTCTCTCCCCTCTTTCTCTATTTTTCTCTCTCTTTCTCTCCCTCTCTTTCATTCCTTCTTTCTCTCTCTCTTTCCCTCTCTCTATTTTTCTTTCTCTCTCCTCTTTTTCTTTCTCTCTCCCTCTCTTTCTCTCTCCTCTCTTTCTGTTTCTTTCTCTCTCTTTCCCTCTCTCTCCTCTCTTTTTTCCTCTCTCTCTACCTCTTTTCCTGTCTCTCTTTTTCTCTTTTTATTTTTCTTTCTCTCTGTCTGTCTCTCTCTTTCTTTCTCTCTCTCTCTCTTTCTTTCTCTCTCTCCTCTTTCTTTTTTCTTTCTCTCTCTTTCCCTTTCTCTCTCTTTCTCTTTTTATTTTTCTTTCTGTCTCTGTCTCTCTCTTTCTCTCTCTCTTTCTCTCTCTCTCCCTCTCTCACATTCTAGTTTTCAGAGTGATAGTTATTTCCATGAGAACAGACGCGAGTCTCTTTCTTTTGCTCTGTATAGAAAAACAGTAACCCAATAATAGCCCAGCCTAAACATTTTATAGATTAAAAAGCGATCTTTTCCTGCCCCGAGGCTAACCATTTGCAGAGATGTATCATTCTTGTCAAAGTCTTAGAACCGAGGAGTTAATATTTGAATTTTGCTGTCAAGTCTGATTTTTCTGCTTGCTTTCTGGGTCTACAACATACGCTCTCACCTACCATCTAAGGAATATTCCACGAGTATACAGGTGCCCCTTTTGTACAGGTGCTGCAGATGTGATCCCTGTTTTTTAAAAAATCAACATTACATAATTTAACAGTTTAACATAATAACAGGGTTGGAAGGGACCCTGGAGGTCTTCTAGTCCAACCCCCTGCTTAGGCAGGAAACCCTAGACCACTTCAGACAAACGGTTATCCAACATCTTCTTAAAAACTTCCAGAGTTGGAGCATTCACAACTTCTGGAGGCAAGTTGTTCCACTGATTCATTGTTCTCACTGTCAATAAATTTCTCCTTAGTTCTAAGTTTTTTCTCTCCTTGATTAGTTTCATCCGTTGCTTCTTGTCCTGCCTTCAGGTGCTTTGGAGAATAGCTTGACTCCCTCTTCTTTGGGGCAGCCCCTGAGAGATTGGAAGACTGTTATCCTGTCTCCCCTAGTCCTTCTTTTTATTAAACTAGACCTACCCAATTCCAGCAACCGTTCTTCGTATGTTTTAGCCTCCAATCCCCTGATCATCTTTCTTGCTTTTCTCTTCTTGAAGCCCCTTCCCATGGATGACCCTGAATAGGAATATATATGTAACCTAAAATAATCTTCTTCTGAGCATTAACGGAAGGAGTTTGAGCATTGCTAACTGGTTTAATGAGATTATATCTAGACACAGACTTCCTACATTATCAGCAAGGTCTTTCCTAGTCATTCATTGTTCAGAACTGCTATCAGTCATTGTCCAGCTGGCATTGCGTAAACTCCTGTTGCTTAACTCGATTTGTTGTTAACTCTTCAGGCCTTGTTGCTGTTGGGAGCGGTCTCTTTGATGTGCCTGGCTCTGGATCTCCTGTTCCTCCTCTTTTACTCCTTCTGGTTGTGTTGTCACCATCGGAAGAGTGAAGAACAGCTGAATGCGGATTGTTGCTGTACGGCGTGGTGCGTCATCATTGCAACTCTAGTATGCAGGTGAGTTTTGCCCCATCTGAAGACTTCCACCAGGATGAAGTTGTATTTCCTACAAGGAGCAAGGCCCCGCCCATGTAACCCATCTCTTGGGATCTGAGGAATTCCAGAACCGCAGCTTGCTCCATTTAGGAAACAAATTCTAGGATGTCTACAGAATAACAAGAGTTGGAAGGGGCCTTGGAGGTCTTCTAGTCCAGCCCACTGCTTAAGCATGAGACTCTATACCAGTTCAGAGAAGTGGTTGTCCAGTCTCTTTTTGAAAACCTCCAGTGATGAAGCACCCACAACTTCTGACGGCACCTTCTGTTCCACTGGTTAATTGTCCTCACTGTTAGGACGTTTCTCCTTAATTCCAGGTTGCTTCTCTCCTTGGTTAGCTTCCACCCATCGCTTCATGTCCTGCCTTTTGGTGCTTTGGAGGATAGCTTGACTCCCTCTTCTTTGTGGCAACTCCTCAAATACTGAAATACCGCTATCTTCCATCAGATTCTCCCTCTAGATATTTGTCGTGCAGCCAAGGAGGTCTTAACCATCTCCACTTGATTATCCTTGGATAGATTTATATCAGAGTTGTGCAATGCTTCAAATTCACTTCCGAAACTGGACTTCAAAATGCGCAGGAGCATTACCGTAGCCGCTTCCTGCTGTCCTTTGAAAGCAGCTGTGCCTTTTTCCAACTCCACAAGGCTTCTCTCCACATTGGAACTCAAAGGATCACGCATCAACCTTGTTCGGTGTTGGGTTGGCCCTTGCAAATGCCAAACATGACCTCACGAGGGGTCGGTCCTTGTTGCTTTCTGAGCTTGGTTGTTTTCTTGCAGATATTTCATTACCCAATGAAACATCTGTCAAAAAAAAAAAAACCCTAGTTACTCTCCTAACTAGCATTGATGATGTTATCTGGTTGGGTAATGAAACAACTGCAAGAAAAATAGCCAAGCTCAGAGAGAGTACCGAGGACCCCGCAATCCTTCTATTCCTCCTCCTCTTCCCCCCTCTCCTCCTCCTCCAATCTCACTCCCTTCTAGCACTGATGATGTTACCTCGTCTGCAAGAAAACAAGGAAGCTCAGAGAGCACCAAGGTCCCCATAATCCTGTTCCTCCTCCTCTTCCTCCCACTCCTCCTCCTCCTCCTCCTCTCCACAAAACCCTCTTCCTTCGAGTACTGATGATGTTACCTGGTTGGGTAATGAAACATCTGGAAGAAGACAAGTAAGCTCAGAGCACCAAAGGACCCCAAAATCCTTCTATTCCTCCTCCTCCTTCTCTGATATAAATCTATCCAATGATAATCAAGTGGAGATAGTTAAGACCTCCTTGGCTGCACTACAAATATCCAGAGGGAGAATTTGATTGAACATGATAGCAGTATTTCAGTATTTGAGGGGCTCTTATTTTCCAAAGCACCAGAAGGCAGGACCAGCAAACTCAGAGAACACCAAGGAACCCCACAATCCTTCTATTCCTCCTCCTCTTCCTCTTCCTCACAAACCCCCCCCCCCCTGCCTTCTAGCACTGATGATGTTACCTGGCTGGGTAGCGAAGAAGATGCACCAAGCTCAGAGAGCGCTAAAACCCTTCATTTTCAGCCCTGAGCCACAAATATTCTCCGTTATTGGTACAAATTTGCATCAACTTCGTTAACTTGAGTTTGAACTCGTGGGGCTAACCAGGGGAGAAGGAAACGCTTGCCCTTTGCAATGCTTGCCCTTTGCAATGCGTCAGCATGTTCTTGCTAGATTTTGACATTTTTTTTCCAGCTCTCCGGAAATAGTAGGGGACAGCAGAACTTAAGAAGAACAGGGGAAGAAGAGGGCAGGAAGCAGACATCACGAGACAGGGAGGTGGGGTTGATTCGAAGTGTAGACTTCAGTCTGTATCTTTGGGGCGCCAGCATGTTGGATGTGGAAAAGAGAGGCTTTTCCATCTCGCCCTCCCCCCCCCCCCAAATAGCACCTTCTCCTGGCATCAGAAGAATAAGGTGGTAAAGAAATGTGAAAATTAGCTCGGGCCTCAAGAGGAATTTTAAAGTGTGGGCTGCACGCAAAGGACTCAGCTTGTGAAACGCCTCTTAATTAAAGACGCAATATTATTATTAACTTTATTCATTAAACATGAAACTCAGTCAACTGAACATTCAAAAATGCACCACCAATACCATGGACTGGTGCTAATGGTTGATACGGGTTGCTGCCAGCGTCCTAGATATTGTTGTGGCCCGCCAGCGGCCTGCACAGATTGTGGCTGATTCCAACAAGGAGGAGGCTGGTGTGGTGTCGCGCCAGCAGCCTGTGCAGCCGGCGCTCGAGTCGGACAGCGAGGAGGCTGAAGAGGATGTGGTGCCAGAGGCAGAGACTCAGCCAGGGCCTTCCGAATCTCCAGAGGCTCCTTCAAGTGAAGAGAGTGAAGTGGAGGAGCCTCTTCTCGATGCTCGAGCATGCAGGGCTGCCAAAAGGCAGGAGTGGCTACTCAGGAGGAGGTCTCCTCGAGAGTAAGGCTTGGGGTAAATTGGCCACTCCCTTAGCCTGTTTAAGTTCGCTCACAGATAGCAAACACTGCTGGAAACAATGTTTAATTACCACACAGAGCCTTTTGAGAGTGAGTTTCTTGTTACATCGTGGTTTCTGGGCTGGTTGCCAACTCTTGTCGGACTTTGTTTATTCTCTATAATTCATAGCAGGCTGATAAGGACATTTGCACCGAAAGCCTGCATTTTGAAAGGGGTCTGTTTGTATTAAACGGAGTTGGTGGGGCTTTGTGTGTGTCATAACTCCTTGGGATCTGGAGCTGGGGCAGAACAGGTATCAACCAAGTACCTTCTTAAGATGTACGATGTTCCAAGTAGCGCAGTTTTTTTGCAGTTCCGCTGGTGTTATTGCAGGAAGCTTCAATTTGCTGATGTATGTTATAAAATTCTTGGACATGGTACCAAGTGCCCCGATGACAATGGGTATCACGGTTACATGTTTCATCCATAGCCGTGTAGTTTCGATGGCCAGGTCGCGATATTTTGTGATTTTTTTCCCAGTTCTTTTTCTTCGACTTTGGCATCTCCTGATTATAATAATAATAATTAATTATTATTATTATATAATTATTATACACAAACTTGACAGTATACACAGCAAACAAGATAACCATGCTGGATTTATTATTTTTATTATTATTATTATTATTATTATTATTATTATTATTATTATTATTATTATTATTATTATTATTATTATTGAGCATCGTTGGAAAAGGAAGGGGCTCCCTTAATCCTCAACTCCCTGCCCGGCCATTCCCGTCCGCTCCCGCCTCTGTCTTTGGTACCCGAGAGCCCCCCATTGCTAGTTGGAGACTTAATATAACCCAGAACATCTCCGAGGCTGATATTTTTAGCTTGTGGGTATATAAGGAATTTAATCATCAGAAACATATTTTTGTCACAGCTCTTCCAGCCGGATAGCGAGAAGCAGAAGGAGAGGAAGTGTGCTTTTTTTTTTAACTCTTTCAGGCCTGGAGAAGACTATATTTAATGCTCTGTTGTCAGGCGTTTCCTCCTCTTTTCTTCTTGGATTGTGTCTCAAGGATGTCCTGATGGGGCTTTTTTTTTTTGTTTGGACTTTCTGGGTTTTTTTCCTTCTTCGAAGACGTTTCGCTTCTCATCCGAGAAGCTTCTTCAGATCTTGACTGGATGGTGGGGAACGGAAGGGTTTTATATTCCTTCGTACTTAACGACCGTCGCTGTGTCCCAAGGTCACGTCATCCCCTTTTGGGGACCTTCTGACGACGGGGAAGCCAGATTCACTTAACAACCGAACAACCGTGCTGCTGACTTGATCGACCGCTGTGATTCGCTTAACAACTGTGGCAAGAAAGGTTGCAAAATTCTACTTAACAAGTGTCTCGCTTAGCGACGGAAACGTTGGGCTCCATTGTGGCCGTATGTCGAGGACTACACCTGCATTGTTGTTATTTATATTATTCGTATGCCACTTCTATCATGAAAAAAGCGGCGAACAGATCCAACGCATCTTCTTCCTCCTCCTTTCTCCCTACAACAACAACCCTGTGAGGTGGGCTGGGATGCGAGAGAGAAACTGGCCCGAGATTACCCAGCTGGCTTTCATGACTAAAATGGAACTAGAACTCACAGTCTCCCGGTTTCCAGTCTGGCGCCTTAACCAACGTATACACTGTAGTCCTCAACTTACGGCTAGAATTGAGCCTGGAATGTTGGTCGTAAGGCACTGCAGTTATAAGTTGAATCCCCACACGACCGGACTTGACTTTACGCCTGTTTTCACGCCCCGTTAAGTGGGTCACCACAGTTGTTAAGCCAATCACCCCGTTGTTAAGTCTGAAGCCAGCTAATTCAATGGGCGTAGATGGAGATGATCTCCTTGTGGTCTTCTGTCTCTTTGCAGCGCTGGCATCGCGGTGGGCTTCTACGGAAACGGGGAGACCAGCGACGGCATCCATCGAGTAACATATTCCCTACGGCATGCCAATCGCACGGTGGCCGGTGTTCAAGACCGGGTGAGTTAGCTGTCCCCGAGGAAGAGAGGGACAGGTCCAGAGGTGATCAACCGCTGTCCTCGGAGTCTCATTCACTTGTGGGTCTGCCCTTCAACTAGTTCTCAACAGCTATTAGCAGAAGGAAGATGAAGAGAAGGAAGGGTTGGCTTTTTTCAGTAACGGCACGTTTGGCAACTTCCGGTTAGTTGGCAAATGGGCCGTTTCCGGCCTCCAGAGGGCCTCCGGGGGAGGGGGAGGCTGTTTTTGCCCTCCCCAGACTCCTAGAAAGGCTCTGGAGGTTGGGGACAACAAAAAACAAGACTTCCGGTCCCACCGGAAGTTGGCAAAGGGGCTGTTTTCGCCCTCGCCAGACTTCTAGAAAGGCTCTGGAGGTTGGGGAGAGAGAAAAACCGGCCTTCCCCACCCAACCCCGAGGTCCTCTGGGGGCAGGAAGCAGCCTTTTCCCCTACTTCTGGTGGGCCCATAAGGCCTGAAACTCAGCTGCGGAGCTGAGCTCGCGTGCCCACCAATATGGCTACGCGTGCCACCTGTGGCACATTGAACAAGCCGAGTAAACCTATTGAATGTGCTGTTGCCTTGAAGCTATCTTCTCTTGAAGCTCTGAAGATCTCTTGAAGCTCATCTTCAGCTTTCTTGTTGTCCTTCAAAGAATGCTAACTGAACCCAGATCTGTCTGCGCCTCCAGGTTTACGACACAGCCATTGCCCTAAACAAAACGGCCGAGCCCAATTTAGGAGACCTGGAGATAATATTCAGTAAGCAGACTCAGTATCTGCACGTGGTTCAGAAGATCCAGGGACTTTTGGATGACCTGGTAAGAGAAAGCACAGAGATCCCCTTCTGGAAGAACCACCAGGTTTCATTAGAAGAGCTGGCCATTCGTATCGACCTGTACGACTGGTATAGGTGAGTAGGATGTAACCCTGTTTTTATTTCATCTCGATCTGCGGGTGATGGTCCACCAAGATGGTGGACAAATGAGGATGTCATGGCACTGATGGAGTCACTTTGGTCTAACTGTGCAACCTGTGTGAACGTATGACCTATGTGTGAATGTGTGTGTGTCTGTGTGTGTGTGTGAAGGGTGACTCGCAAGACACCTCTTTCTGCTCACAGCTTGACAAAGAAGCTAAGGGAGGGGGGAAGGGTATGATTGGGATGTGTGGGAAGCGGGAGGGAGGGAAGGAATCTACGTGAGCCGTTGGTAGCCTGAGAAAATCTCGGCAATCCCAAGGTCACGATCTGAAGATTTTTCGAAAGGTGCAGACCGCTTTCCCAAAATAAAATGCTTAACCTAGATAGGTAGACACTGGGTGGCTCTGGGGGGAAAGGAAAAGAGGGGTTTCATTATACTGGGCTTCACACCAAAACCTCAGAGTTGGCTTTGCTTCTTCTGTGCCTGAATGGATCTGTCCGTAAAGTTTTACTACTCTTGGTAATAAAAAAAAATGTCCCAGGAGTTTCTTTTGCTGTGAATGCCAACGGGACGGTTGACATTGTGACCCATAAAAAGTGTGGCGTCTTATGTAACCTACAGACCAAGATGGTTTGTTTTCTTTTTCCCCATGGAAGGGACGCGGTGGCTCAGTGGCTAAGACGCTGAGCTTGTCGATCGAAAGGTCGGCAGTTCAGCGGTTCGAATCCCCAGTGCCGCGTAACGGGGTGAGCTCCCGTGATTTGTCCCAGCTTCTGCCAACCTAGCAGTTCGAAAGCATGTAAAACGTGCAAGTAGAAAAATAGGGACCACTTTTGGTGGGAAGGTAACAGTGATCCGTGTGCCTTTGGCATTGAGTCATGCTGGCCACATGACCACGGAGATGTCTTCGGACAGCGCTGGCTCTTCGGCTTTGGAGCACCGCCCCCTAGAGTCGGGAACGACTAGCACATATGTGCGAGGGGAACCCTTACCTTTTATGGATGGAAATTTTGGGAACATTGATCCAAAACCATCATTAAGATCTGAATTGCCTGATGCTAAAACAGGCGGTTCAGAAGCATATCAAGTCTTTGGACCAGCGTAACGCCGTTGACTTCTCCAAACCCAAGGATAATTATACCGACTCCTGAAAGCCATGGTCCTACGACTGCTCCAATCCTTGCCTATAACTTTTTTTACATACGGCTTTATGTCTTAACCATCTATATATTGGGTTTCACCATAGGTGGTTGGGCTACTTGGGCCTGCTGATGTTCCATGTCGTGATATGTCTGCTGGTGCTATTTGGACTCATCAGAAACTCCAAGGCCATTCTCATTGGGTAAGTCAGGAAAAAAAAACTTGAAGATCCTTAAAATCAGTTATTCTTCCATGGTACTGGATGATGGTCTTTATTTGTGAAGGTTCTTGAGAAGAAATGCAGGAAGATCATTGAATGCCATGATACTTTCCAGTGTGCACTGCCAGATATTTAAATGATGTAATCTTTGCAAACTTCCTGCTCCTGTTTTGATAGAGAGGGGGGCCTGTAGGCTAAAGTAATTAGACTTTATTTATTAAATATGGCTGAGTTTATAGATGTCATAAGATTGTCATAGTTCCTTGGACGCTGATCATTTGAAGCTGGGATCTTCAAACCTGGCAACTTTTAAGACTTGTGGACTGGGATTCTCACAACTTCTGCCAGATAACTTAGTTTGTGTTTCTGGTGCTGATAGGAGTGTTGCCTGAAGAATGCAGGGAGCCGCTTGTGCCTTTAAACTGCCAGATGCCGCCATTGCCAGTGGTTCCTCTTTTTTTCCATTCCGTTTGAACTCTGAATTACAATCTACAGGGAAGATTAAGCCATCAGAACTGGAGCCAACGTGTCTGGCACTTTGACTCTGTTTCTTTTCCTCCTGCAGTGTGTGTCTTCTCGGGGTGCTGGCCCTAACTGTGAGCTGGGGGTCCCTGGGGCTTGAACTGGCGGTGGCTGTGGTGAGTATTTTAGTTTCACCAGGGAAAAAGAATCGCTCTCTTCACTGGCACCCCCTTTGCTGGTAGATGCTCAGCCAAAGAATTAGCTTACTAGCACTAGTTGTCTCCACGTTAACTGTACAAAAGAGGCTTTGATCTGGTTCACTTACCACTATAAGCCACGATTCGTGGCTTAGTCTGTTGGGTAAAGCCATTCACTTGTGTATTCCCTTAGTAAAGCCCCATTAAGCCAATAATGGCCTAGGGCAGGGGTCTGCAACCTTAAACACTCAAAGAGCCATTTGGGCCCGTTTCCCACAGAAAAGAAAACACGGGAAGCCACAAAACTCTTCCCACGCCTGAGTATTTCTTGAGCGGCCACAAAACTAGCCTATGTAGTTGAATTAAACGTTCTGTTTTCTTCTGAAACTTTTCTTTTCTTGGATTTATCCGTGGTTGGCCTACCAGGGGTTGAAAAGCTCAATAAATCACGTGCTGCACATTGGCAGTTGTGACGCCTATTTTGAGTGACAGGGAGCCGCAGCAGAGGAGTGAAAAAGCCACAACAATTCTGGCCTGCAAGGCTGACTTTTCTATCTGTAGGGCAAGTTTTCAGATTTGGGGATGATGGAGAACGGCCCAAAATCCTGCGTGCCATTTTGCCCAGCTCGCTTCGCTTTTCTTCACAACCTCCCCAGAGGTTCACAGGCGTGGTTTCGATTTCTCCTTCCTAAAACGTGTTTGCTCTTTTTTTCCACGTGGAAAAATGCCAGAGCGTTTTGCAGGGCGCGTGTCCTGGAATGGGACTTGGGTGAGTTACCTCGGGTGTTCTTTGCTCCTTTTAGGGTTCCAGCGACTTTTGCATTAACCCTGATGCTTACGTGTCCAGGACAGTGGAAGCTTACAGAGTGCTGAATGCAGGTAATGAGTTGTTGCTGAGAACAAGTCCTAAGAAGTGGGCGGCTTTGGGATTTTGAGGCAGACATTGGAGGGTGATTTGTACATACCCGTATTTTTCGGAGTATAAGACGCACCTTTTTCCTCCTTAAAAGAGGATGAAAATTTAGGTGCATCTTATACACTGAATGTAGCCCCGCCCACCCACTGCCCCCCACCCTTTGGCCTCTGCCTCCCAGCAGTTTACCTCCTTGCAGCAAGAAGAAACAGCCCCTTTCAGCTTCAGCACAGCCTAATTAGCACAAGTTGATTGGATCGGCCTCCCGACTCTCAGCTGTTTTGCGGCGGCTTCTGCTGCTTGCTGCAAGGAGGTAAATTGTTGGGAGCAGATTTTTTTTTTTACCTTGTGCTAATCAAGCTATGCTGAAAACGAAAATGAAAGTAAAGCAGGCTGTTTGCTGCAATGAGGCAAAATTGCTCAGAGGCAGAGGCAGATTTCTTTTTCTTGTTTTCCTCACCAAAAAAAGATAGGTGCGTCTTATAATCCGGAGCGTCTTATACTCCGAAAAATACGGTAGTCAAAAAATAGAAGATTAGGTGAAGAAAGAGAGCAATGTTATGGTCCAGAAAGAGAATTTGCAAAAGACCATGATGAATGATGAACGATTGCAGGAACTGGGCATGGCTAGTCTAGAGAAGAGAAGGACCAGGGGAGACATGATAGCAGTCTTCCAATATTTGAGGGGCTGCCCCAGAGAGGAGGAAGGGGGTCAAGCTATTTTCCAAAGCACCCGAAGGCCAGACAAGGAATAATGGATGGAAACTGATCAAGGAGAGATTCAACTTGGAAATAAGGAGGAATTTTCTGACAGTGAAAGCAATCAACCCACGGAACAGAAGTTGCCTTTGGAAGTTGTGGGAGCTTCATCCCTGGAAGCTTTCAAGAAGAGATTGGACTGCCATCTGTCAGAAATGGTGTAGGGTCTCCTGCTTGGGTGGGGGGTCAGACTAGATGATCTCCAAGGTCCCTTCCAACTCTGTTATTCTGCATCTGACTCAAGGATTTCAGGCGGTAGGGGTGGATCTGTGGCTTTGGGGTACGTTCATTTGTTCTCTGCATTTGAAATGGTTGGAAACGGAAAGGTGAAAGCAGAAATTACAGGTAGCTCTCGACTTAATGGCCACAATTGAAACCAGAATTTCCGTTGCTAACAGCTGCACCGATTTTACAATCTTTTTGCCCTGGTCGTTAAGAGTCGTTATGTGACTCGCTTGGTTGTTCAGGGAATCTGGCTTTCGCCCTTGACTTCGCATGTCAGAGGCCAGCTGGGAAGATCATAAACGGCGATCAGACGATCTCAGGACGCTGCAAACAGCATCAATATGTGCCGATTGCCAAGCTCCTGACACTGGTTATATGACCCCCGCAGTTGTAAGTGTGAGGACTGGTCCTAAGTCCCTTTTTGCAATGCCGTATTCACTTCAAAACCGTTACTGTATGAATTGGTCGTAAGTTGAGAACCAGCGGTATCCAGAAATACGGTTTGGAGGCTTAATCATAGGTTAATCAAAGTTTGCACGAAAACTTTGCCCGAAAACTAAAGTAATTTGCAAGTTTTGTGCAAACGTATGCGCTTTGTACTTCTACCTCTTGTTGGCCAAGTTCTGAGTTTTAGAATTTGGGGGGAGGAAACAACTGAAACAACTCTTTCAGTTCCCCCAACACAACGAGCTGTTGGTATCTTATCGGGGCGTTTTGAGCTTCAGCCAACCCTGGCTCTACTATTTCCAAGCCTCTTTCACAGAAATCACGCGGATGCAGACTTTGCAAAGCCAACAAAAGAGAAAAAGGAAGGATCTAATGCGAACCACGAGTTTTGGCCAACTTCCAAGCTTGTGGTTTGGAGGTTCGTTCTTTCTTTCTTTCTTTCTTTCTTTCTTTCTTTCTTTCTTTCTTTCTTTCTTTCTTTCTTTCTTTCTCACGAGCAGAAGGGATGGAGCCTTGAAATTAATCCTCATGTTGTTTTAGTTCCTCATGCTTTACTACAGGGGTATCCAAGCTTGGCAACTTTAAGACCTGTGGACTTCCAACTCCCAGAATAACTGCGGAATTCTGTCGACCTCAACTCCCCTTTTTTTTTTTTGCCTGGGGGATTCTGGGAGCTGAAGTCCACAGGTCTTAAAGTTGCCCGAGCTTGGAAACCATATTTTAGTGTCTTTTTAGATGCTGAGGCCTCCTAAAAGACAATCTGAAAAATGTGGGTTGCAAAAAAAAAGCACTTACTCAGACATGGGTCATCCTTGTTCAGATATTTCTGTCTTCTCCAAAAGAGAAGGAATGGTGGAGGAAGAGGAGAAGAAGGGGAGGGAGGAAGAAAAGGAATGATGGAGGAGGAGGGGGGAAGGGAGAAGAAGAGGCAGGAGGAGTGGTGGAGGAGGAGAGGGAGAAGGAAGTGGTGGAGGAGAAGGAGGAAGAGTGGTGGAGAAGGAGGAGATGGAAAGGGAGAAGGAGAGGCAGGAGGAAAGGGAGAAGGAGAGGGAGAAGGAAGTGGTGGAGGAGAAGGAGGAAGAGGGGGGGAGAAGGAGGAGATGGAAAGGGAGAAGGAGAGGCAGGAGGAAAGGGAGAAGGAGAGGGAGAAGGAGGGGGGGGAGGAGAAGGAGGAAGAGTGGTAGAGAAGGAGGAGATGGAAAGGGAGAAGGAGGTGGTGGAGGAGAAGGAGGAAGAGTGGTAGAGAAGGAGGAGATGGAGAAGGAGGTTGTGGAGGAGAAGAAGAAGGGGAAGAAGGAGAAGGAGAGGAGAAAGGAAGTGACTTCCTTTTCTCACAAGCTTCTATTTTTATCGGACCAGATCGGTCTACGTGCATGAGGCTAAATTCCCAAGAAACTGCAGCCTGCCCAGGTTTTCATAATGAAGCCGCTCTTCCTTAGAACACCCCAAGTTCTCTCTCTAAGAGAAAGGAAGAAAAAACACAGCTGGTGGAAATATAATTCAAAGAGTCCATCGGCCCCATGCTTTAGCCTTATCAGATGAAGGGAGATGGGAAAATCTCCAGAGGGAGCCAAAACAGGACTCATTATTTTGGCACATTGATCGTGGCTCTTTGCACTTCTCAAGAGAGCAAAATGGGCATCGCCAACGGATTCGGAGCGCGTTGTTATGATTAGGAGGGTGCTGATTTTTCGTGCCTGTCTTATCCATGTTTCCTGGTAAAATACATGGGAAACAGTGGTGGAATTCAAATTTTTTTACTACTGGTTCTGTGGGCGTGGCTTGGTGGGCGTGGTGTGGCTTGGTGGGTGTGGCTTGGTGGGCATGGCAAGGGAAGGATACTGCAAAATCCCCATTCCCTCCCCACTCCTGGGAGAAGGATACTGCAAAACCTCCATTTCCACCCCACTCTGGGTCCAGCCAGAGGTGGTATTTGCCTGTTCTCCGAACTGCTCAAAATTTCCGCTACCAGTTCTCCAGAACCTGTTAGAACCTGCTGAATAGCACCCCTGGTGGCAAATGTTTGAAATGCAGTTTTCTAACGTATTCCATTACAAGTTGCCCCTAACAAAACTCATTTGCTTCTTCAAGAGTAACATAATGTAACCAGGTTACCTACAAGCCTCGATTGATGATTCTCTGTTGATCTTTTTGATAGATACTTTGAACTATTACCTGGTCTGTGGTGTTGGCTACCCTAATCCATTCCAGCAGGTGAGTGTCTTTCAAGTTGCACGCTTGGAATATTGCATCTAATTTTGGTCACCACGATATGAAAAAGATGTGGAGACTTTGGAAAGAGTGCAGAGAAGAGCAACGAGGATGATGAGGGGACTGGAGGCCAAAACATAACATAGAATAGTTGCAGGAACTGAGCTTGGCTAGTCTAGTGAAGAGAAGGACCAGGGGAGACAGGATAGCATCTTCCAATACTTGAGGGGCTGCCACAGAGAGGAGGAAGGGAGTCAATCTATTTTCCAAAGCACCTGAAGGCCAGACAAGGAATAATGGATGGAAACTTGGACCAAGGAGAGATTCAACCTAGAAATGAGGAGGAACTTTCTGACAGTGAGAACCATCAACCCATGGAACAAAAGTTGCCTTCAGAAGTTGTGGGAGCTTCATCACTTGAGACTTTCAAGAAGAGACTGGACTGCCCTCTGTCAGAAATGGTGTAGGGTCTCCTGCTTGGGCGGGGGGGTTGGATTAGAAGACCTACAAGGTCCCTTCCAACTCTGATATTCTGAGATACTTTGATTAAGCTGTGCTTGGACATGGCAATATCACTAGCAATGTTACTTAGACTTATATACCACTTCACAATGCTTTTACAGCCCTCCCTAAGCAATTTACAGGTCCTCATTTTACCGACCTCAAAAGGATGGAAGGCTGAGTCAACCTTGGGCCAGGCAGGATCGAACTGCTGGCAGTCGGCAGAATTAGCCTGCAATTCTGCATTCTAACCACTGTGCCACCATGGCCCTTCCTTCCTTCCTTCCTTCCTTCCTTCCTCCCTCCCTCCCTCCCTTCCTCCCTCCCTCCCTTCTTCCTTCCTTCCTTCTTCTTTCCTTCCTGACTCCCTGCCTCCCTCCTTCCTTCCTTCCTGCCTCCCTCCCTTCCTCACTTCTTCCTCACTTCCTTTCTTCTTCTTTCCTTCCTGCCTCCCTCCCTCCTTCCTGCCTGCCTGCCTGCCCCCCTCCCTCCCTTCTTCCTCCCTTCTTCCTGCCTGCCTGCCTCCCTCCCTCCCTCCCTTCTTCCTCCCTTCCTCCCTCCTTCCTTCTTTCCTTCCTGCCTCCCTCCCTTCTTCCTCCCTTTCTTCTTCTTTCCTTCCTGCCTCCCTCCCTCCTTCCTTCCTGCCTGCCTCCCTCCCTTCCTCCCTCCTTCCTTTCTTCCTTCCTGCCTCCCTCCCTCCCTTCTTCCTCACTTCCTTTCTTCTTCTTTCCTTTCTGCCTCCCTCTCTCCTTCCTTCCTGCCTGCCTGTCTGCCTCCCTTCTTCCTCCTTCCCTCCCTCCCTCCCTCCTGCCTGCCTGCCTGCCTCCCTCCCTCCCTTCTTCCTCCCTTCCTTCTTCTTCTTTCCTTCCTGCCTCCCTCCCTCCTTCCCTTCCTACTTAGCAAAAGCGCTTAGACTTATATACCACTAGAGAAGGCTGTAAAGCACCGTGAAGCTGTTTACAGAGTCAACCTCTTGCCCCCAACAATCTGGGTCCCCATTTTACCGACCTCGGAAGGAGGGAAGGCTGAGTCGACCGTGAGCCCATCAGGATCGAGCTGCTGGCAGTCGGCAGAATTAGCCTGCCATTCTGCATTCTAACCACCGCGCCACCACGGCTTCTCATCACCAGAAGTCTTCGCAGAAGCCCACGTTCTCCTAAATGCCAGAGCAGGTTTTCTTAATCTTATCAAAAGGAATATCCTGCCAGCTGGAAGGAAAGCGATGGGTAACAGAAGGGTTGGCTGTCAAAAGAAATGCCATACTAGTATGATGAGATAAAAGGAGAGGCAAGGGAGGGGGGGGTGCCTGCTAATTAAGTTGAAGCTTTTGAGGTGGTCGCGCAGCTGTCTTCCTTGGCAGGACACCATAAAAAAAACAAAAACGTCTTTTGCTCTTCTCAAAACCCTCCCAATCTCCTTGTTGAACGAAAGATCTAAGAGGGAGGTAAGCAGGAAGAATAAAAACAATGTCTGAAGATTGATTAGAGCTTCCATTCTAGGACGGATGCTTGGCTGGGTTGCCATCCCTAGAGGTGGGTTTGAGGGACTAGTTCATGCTTCGTTATCAAAGGAGAATTTGGAACCCGTGTTCTCCTGCCTGTATGTTGGGTCTCATGGGTTTAACTTGCAAAACTCAGATGTTTTCTTGAATAGTCAATAATACGCGGTAGCTGATGTTTTGAGAATTTTAGGAGAACAACCATTAAAACGCACCCAGTGCGTGTGTCCAGGCTAACTGGAACCAGTAGGAGGGAATGTTTGAAGCTCAAGGTGGACATGCTTTGGTGCTTCTCTGAGCTTGGTGGTTTTCTTGCAGACGTTCCATGACCCAACTAGGGAACATCATCAGTGCTAGAAAGGAGTAGGTTTGTGGATGGAGAAGAGGAAGAGAAGAGGAAGAGAAAGGGGGAGGAGGAAAAGGAAAAGGAGAAGTGGAGGAAGAGGACTGTGAGGTCCTTGGTGTTCTCCGAGCTTGGTGGTTTTCTTGCAGACATTTCATGACCCAACTAGGTAACACCATCAGGGCTAGAAGGGAGTAGGGGTGAAGTTCTAGCCCTGATGATGTTACCTTGTTGGGTCATGAAACATCTGCAAGAAAGCCAGCACGTTCACCGAGCACCAAGGACTACACAGACTAGCCGGACTTGACTTGAAAGACTGAAATGATATTTTCTGTGTTGAACAGAAGCTGTCAGGGAGCCACAAAGCTCTGGTAGAAATGCAGGATGACGTCCTGGAGCTGTTGAAGTTGGCTGTTAAGGAATATCCTACCTCTAAGGTAACGCTGGATCCAGCCTTCGAAAGGGATGGCGTTCCACATTTCATTTTTCTTTCCGTCATCAAAAAGCCAGCCGGTGATTGCTAAACTTCTTCCTGTCCTCTCAAACTCCACAGGAGCACCTGATTCGAATCCAAGAAGTGCTGAACTCCACGGAGGTCAACCTGCAACATTTAACCGCTTTGGTTGACTGTCGGAGTCTTCATTTGGTGAGTCTGTTGGAAGGATGGCGAACGACAGGTTGAGGGCTTGTTCAACCTCAACGACTTTTACAATGGGTGGACTTCAACTCCCAACTTCCACCCATCAACTTTTACGATGGGTGGAGGTCAACTCCCAACTTCCACCCATCGACTTTTACAATGGGTGGATGTCAACTCCCAACTTCCACCCATCAACTTTTACGATGGGTGGACGTCATCTCCCAACTTCCACCCATCGACTTTTATGATGGGTGGACGTCAACTCCCAACTTCCACCCATCAACTTTTACGATGGGTGGAGCTCAACTCCCAACTTCCACCCATCGACTTTTACGATGGGTGGACTTCAACTCCCAGAATTCCCCAGCCAGCCAAGTTGGCTGGGGAATTCTGGGAGTTGAAGTCCACCAAACTTACAGTTACCAAGATGGAGAGACACCAATGTAGACACGGGTGGCTGCAGAGCTGTGTTTGAAGGACATCAAGAAACGAGTGCAAAAGAGCGTGTTGACTGGAGGAGGTCAACCGAGACCATTTACGGTTCTGTTTTCATGAAAAAAAATAAAAATAAAGTCTTGAACCACGATAACAACAGCACGTACCTCATGGAAGGACGCCAGCTGGTTCCTCCTCTTCTGAACGTTCCTCATTCAACAGAGGAACTGAAACCCGTTCTGTGGTCAGCCTTAATCTGCTACGACACTGAGTCTGGTGGCCTTCAAAAAAAAAACCTCCCCCGTCAACCAGCTTAGGTTTTTCTTTCTCCTCGTCCTTGGAGAGGAACGCCTCTCTGCAGAATCGGAGTCGGAAGCTGTTGAGAAACAAGAGGACCATGTAGCCTTCCAAAGACACGTCTGTCTTCGTTTCAAGTCTTGAAGGAAACGATGTCGGTGTTCGGGATGCCTTGGGCATGTTCTGTTCTGACAGAAGTCCTCTTAAGATCTGATGTTGTTATGGAGAGGTTGCCCGGGAGGAAAACCAAGAATGGGATCAGAGATGCGGTTTTAACCTCCTCGTTGCCATGCAACGGCTCCTCTCGATGCAAAAGATTTGCAGGAGAAACGAAGAAGCCCTTCAGAGGGACCAGAAGTGGCTACACAACCACAACACAACTGCTTTGTGTGTATGGACAGCCTTTGACTTAACCATTGTTCGGTTTAGCGGCTGTTCGGAAGCTACCCCTGCACGGAAGGAAGTGACTTAACAACCTGCAAATACATACGTGGTTAGAAAAAAAATATGTGAAAGCTGCATATAAATGATAAGCCAGTATGGATGATAAGCCAAAAATAACTATTTTTGTTAGGGATAGTACCAGAAGAATATAATCGAAGGGAATTTGCATTTAATAGTGCACATTTTTGACGGCGGCTAAAGAATTGTATTTGCACTGTGTTGGATAAATGAGGAAACACCGAGAGAAGGAGATGTACCATATTTTTCGGAGTATAAGACGTACCTTTCACACACACCCCAAAAAAGGGTGAAAATCTGGGTGTGTCTTATATTCCGAATGTAGCCCCACCCAGCTTCTCAAAGGTTTCAGTGGCTGAAAAAAGCATCAGAAACAAAGCTTCAGAAAAGAAGCCCCCAGACAGAGTTTCAGAGGCTTTTTTTCTGAAGCTGTTTCAGAGGCTTTTTTCCTGAAGCTGTTTCGGAGGCTTTCAGAGGCTTTTTTTCTGAAGCTCTGTTTTGGAGGCTTTCGGAGGCAGGAAAAAGTTGTTTCTGAAACAGAGTTTCAGAGGCAGAAAAAGAAGCAAAAGAAAGCAAGGCACAGAGCTCACAACCAAGGAACCTGTTGCTAAAATTCACCTCTGGGAACAGCTGATTGGGGGTATTCCACCCGCCAATCAGCTTTTTTCTTATTTTCCTCCCCAAAAACTAAGGTGCGTCTTATACTCTGAAAAATACGGTAATTAAAAAAACATTAGATTGCACAGAAATAGATAGACCAGTGATGGCGAACCTTTTCGGCACCAAGTGCTGAATGTGCACGCCTCATCTGGGCCGGAACCAGGAAGAGGATTAGGCCAGGGGGCATGCACATGCCGGAAAATGAACTTCCTGTTTCCAGCGTGCGCATACATGTCGGCCAGCAAGTCTTCTAGTTACTGCCACGCATGTGCACGCACCAATCAGCTGACCGGCGCGCATGCACACACCAGAAAATGGAAGAGCAGCTCTTGTGGTTTTCGGCACTGCCGCACACACGAAGGCCAGCTGATCGTCGTTTGCACATGCGTGCCAGAAACCCGGAAAAGGAGTGGGCACGTGCCAGGCGACCAAGCGTCCGAATTTCAATCACATGACCACGGGGATGCAGCAACGGTCGTAAGTGTGAAAAACCGGTCACAAGTCACTTTTCACGGTGCGGTTGTGACTTTGAACGGTCGCTCAACGAGCCGTTGTAATTCGAGGACTCCCTGTAATGTATTTATATCTCCTTTTAGGATTATGTCCAAGCTCTGACCGGCTTCTGTTACGACGGTGTAGAAGGACTCATCTACCTGGTCCTGTTCTCCTTTGTGACGGCCCTGATGTTCAGCTCCATTGTGTGTAGCGTCCCGCACACTTGGCAGCAGAAGAGGTAGGTGTGCAAAAAATAAAAGTAAGTGTGTGTGTGTGAGAGAGGAGGAGGGGCAGGGTCCCGTGTTAGCAATGACTTGTGAATGTTGGTTTTATAGATTTAATCCATTTACTGATCATCATCCTCTTTTAATGACCCCATAATCCCTGGGCAACTGAACGGAGCTAGCAGAGTGTTTTAATGGCCGGATGCCCTTCCCTTTCGCCAGTGCGGAGTTTTGTTCAGCAGCTATATTCTCATTGTGCCCAGAGAGAGAAATATCTGCCTCTACCTAGGACTGAACTCACAGCCTCCTGATTGGCCACTGCACCACCACTCTCCTAGCTGACCATATGGACGATATATTTAGGGCAGGGGTGGGCAACTGTGGCCCTTTTACAACCTGTGGACTTCAACTCCCAGAATTCCTGATACAGCTAAGCTGGCTCAGGAATTCTGGGAGTTGAAGTCCACAGGTTGTAAAAGGGCCACAATTGCCCATCTCTGATTTAGGGCATCCCTTTCCTGATCTCTGCAGGCTGCAAAAAAAAAAAAGGACACTCAAATAGAAATGCCAAAGTTTAAGGCGGAATGAGCGACTCCTAAGGATGGCCAAGATAGTTGTGTTGCACCCACAACTTTTTAAAAAAACTCTCCTTCTCCGGAGTAGGGAAGAGTCCGCGTGTGTTTTAAAAGGCTCCAGACTTCATTCGTACAATCGCAGCTGCCATCTTGACGCTTTGGATCGACACCCCGAGGACGCCCCCACTTTCTGCACTGCCAAATGTGGAGCGCCTTGCTTGCCAGTTTGTGGTAGATGTGTCATCCTTGACTCACAATTTGCCTTCTACAGCAACAGTGGGCTGCCCCCTTGTGGCGTCGCCTGCAAATGAGCCTGTGTCCAGAATCCAGATTTTTTTTTTCTTTTAATGTTCCTTAAATAACAGGAAAAACAAAATAACAGAAACAGAATAACAGAGCGGGAAGGGACCTTCGAGGTCTTCTAGTCCAACCCCCTGCCCAGGCAGGAAACCCTTTACCATTTGAGACAAAACGGTTGTCCAATCTCTTCTTAAAAGCCTCCAGTGATGGAGCAACCCACAACTTCTGAAGGCAAAGCCATACAACTAATTCATTGTTCTCACTGTCAGGACCTTTCTCTCCGTTTCTTCTCCACCAGGAGCACCGAAGACGATGGAGAGGAAGAATCTACGGCTCAAGGGAACCGGCAAACTCACGACAACTTGTACCGAGTCCATATGCCGAGTCTCTACAGTTGTGGGAGTAGCTACGGCAGTGAAACCAGCATCCCAGCAGCTGCACATACTGTCAGCAATGCCCCCGTCACGGAGTACATGTGAGTGGAAGCATTTGGGGTTTGCCGTTGAGGTCCCAGCCTTAGAAAGTTTCATCTAGCTGGAGTTGAGCCATAATACAGCAGACAGAGCAGTGAACCGAATCGAAAGACCCCGATTCCCCCATGTTAGCGTCTCTCTCGATCTAGATCACGGCTTCCCAACCTTGGCACCTTTTAAGACCTGTGGACTTCATGCTGGCTGGGGAATTCTGGGAGTTGAAGTCCACAAGTCTTAAAAGTTGCCAAGGTTGGGCACCCCTGATCTAAATTATTCTGGGTTGTTCACTGCTGTGAGGATCATCAGATTCAAAGCAACCCATTTCGTGCTTGCCACCGCCCACCGATTCCAGAAAGAATGACAAGAACACTAGTGGCTATTTGGTGAGTTTAAAGCAATCCTTCTCAATCTCAGCAACCTTAAAATACCGTATTTTTTGGAATATAAAACACACTTTTTCCCCCCATAAAAAAGGGTGAAAATTTGGGTGCGTCTTATTCACCAAATGTAGCCCTGCCCACCCGCCGCCCACCCGAAAAATGGGGCACGCGGAGGCGGCAATAGGCTATCGCAATCCTTGCAGCCTGAAACAGCTGATCTTCGGGAGGCCGATCCAACTGACAATCAGCTGCTTGTGCTAATCAGGCTGTGCTGAAGAAGCTGAAATTGAAACGGGCTATTTGCTGCAAGAAGGCAAATTGCTGGGAAGCAGAGGCAGATTTTTTTTTCTTGTTTTCCTCCCCAAAAAAGGTAGGCACATCTTACAGTCCAGAGCGTCTTATACTCTGAAAAATACGGGTATGTGGAATTCAATTCCCCAAATCCCCCAGTTTCCAAGAGGAGAGACCACATCTTTTCCAAGGACTCTTCCTTGAGATCTTGAATAAACATCACATCTCCAATCTGATTCTTTTGCTCCCAGGACCCAGAATGCCAATTTCCAGAACCCCCGTTGCGAGAACACTCCACTGATTGGCCGGGAATCTCCGCCTCCTTCTGTAAGTTCTGGTCTTCCTTTTTGAAAGGTTAAAAACCACAAATCTGTTCTGAAGATCTCGACAAAGAGCTGCAGGGAGGGGTCTTCTCGCCCCTGATTCACAAATCCATCCAAGAGACAAGCCTACTCACCCACCCACTTCTTTTCATTAAGTAGCCTGTTTCCCCGAAAATAAGACATCCCCTGATAATAAGCCCAATCGGGCTTTTGAGCGCATGTGCTAAAATAAGGCCCCCTCCGAAAATAAGCCCTCCCCAAAAATATTTAAACGCAGAGCTGGAAATCAGGTAAGACGGCAAGAGGAGCCCCATCTTGCTCCACTCACCCCAAAATAAGGCCAAGCACTTATTTCGGGGTTCAAAAAAAAAATATAAGACAGGGTCTTATTTTCAGGAAACACGGTATATTCTATTCTATTTTCTACTCTAACAGAAATTCTATTATTCTATTCTATTATTCTGTTCTATTATTCTGTTCTATTATTATTCTATTATTATTACCCTGTTTCCCCAAAAATAAGACCTCCCCGGATAATAAGCCCAATCGGGCTTTTGAGCGCATGTGCTAAAATAAGCCTCCCCCTGAAAATAAGCCCTCCCTGAAAATATTTAAATGCAGAGCTGGAAATCAGGTAAGATGGCAAGAGGAGCCCCATCTTGCTCCATGCACCCCAAAATAATAAGACCTCCCTGAAAATAAGGCCAAACGCTTATTTCAGGGTTCAAAAAAATATAAGACAAGGTCTTATTTTCGGGGAAACACAGGTATATTCTATTCTATTTTCTATTCTAACAAAAATTCTATTATTCTATTCTACTATTCTATTTTATTATTATTCTATTATTATTACCCTGTTTTCCCGAAAATAGACCTCCCTGGATAATAAGCCCAATCGGGTTTTTGAGCGCATGCGCTAAAATAAGCCCCCCCAAAAATATTTAACCACATACACAGCTGGTCCCCTCCGTTTCCTCTGGTTAGGGTTAGGGAGACACAGCTGGAAATCAGGTAAGATGGCAAGAGGAGCCCCATCTTGCCCCACGCACCCCAAAATAATAAGACCGCCCCGAAAATAAGGCCAAGCGTTTATTTCGGGGTTCAAAAAAATATAAGACAGGGTCTTATTTTCGGGGAAACACGGTATGGAACTCTGTCTTATGGCGGGCAAGCTGACATTCATTCACCTGCAAAACCCACCCAGAAAACATGACGTCATTGTGACGATGGGGCCTTCACGGAGTTGTGGACCACGAGCAAAAATTCTGCAGAGGTCTCGTATCCTGAAAAAAAGAGCCGGTAATGTGTGGCCACGGGACATTATGGTGACCCCAAAAATCAGCCTTGAAGGAAAGATAAGATAGCAATGTGTTCCCTTCTCTATTTGAGTTCATCTTGGGTTTTTAGTATTCATAATTTCCTTCTTTGGGTGTGGGGGAGAGAGAATCTGATTTCCAGAAAGAAAACGATGCATTTTATGGAAGATTATCTTTGAACAAGGAGCTATTATTTAAACCCTAGGTTTATTTTCTTTAATTTCCTGAGTTGCGATCTTATATTTCGATTTATTCTGGTCTTTGTCCTGGCAGTCTCGATACAACGGTCTTCTGCCAGCAATGGAATATCTTCAAAGGGGATCGGTTATATTTTATGCCGTCAGTATATTAAAAGACCAAAAAAAAAACAGTCTTTTTTTTTTTTTTTGCAAGGAAAAAAAATGGCTGGGTCTCGTCGAAGAGATTTTAGTCTTGTTAAAGGAAAACAGATGCTTAGACCAGCAGTTCATGCCGTAATTAGAAATACGTTGCAGTTAATTCTGAAACGTTTTTGATTTCAGAAAGATTCAAGCTGCGAGCTTTTTAGAGCAAATTCTTTTTTTGGTGGAGAGTGGGAAAACATTTATTCTTCTGACTATGCCTATGGTGGTAGTGGTGATGGAATCTGTTGCTGCAGATGTTTGGACACCTTCAATACAACCTCTTAAAGTATCTTTAGTTCCTTATGGGCAGAACGTAGTGGTAGAGCGGGTTTTTTTTTTCCTACTCTTCTCCTTTGGCGAAATAAATAAATAAATCCTAATTCTCAGAAGATTGGAAAGAAGCAGTTGCGGCCTTCAAGACAGTGTTGTGTTTTTAAGAAGACGTTGGATAACCAATTTGTCTTAAGTGGTGTAGGGTTTCCTGCCTAAGAAGGGGGTCGGACTAGAAGACCTCCAAGGTCCCTTCCAAGTCTATTATTCTATTCTATTCCTTTCAAGCTATTCTCCAAAGGACCTGAGGGCAGGAGAAGAAGCAATGGGTGGAAACTAATCAAGGAGAGAAGCAACCTAGAACTAAGGAGAAATTTCCTGACAGTGAGCACAATTATCCAGTGGATTAATTGCCTCCAGAAGTTGTGAATGCTCCAACACTGGAAGCTTTTTAGAAGAGATTAGATAGCAATTTGTCTGAAGTGGTGGAGGGTTTCCTGCCTAAGCAAGAGGGTTGGATTAGAAGACCCCCAAGATCCCTTCCAACTCTGGTATTCTATTCTATTCTATCTGGAAGAATAGAGATCTCGTCTTCAAAAGAGAAAGGAGTTTCAAGTTGATATCATGGGAATGCCATGTCTTAGTTTTAGGACCTGGGGTGTAGAGATACGTTTGGTGCCCTACCTCAACATCTAAGAAGACAGGCACTGCCACCACTATAGAAGGTGTAGCAAGCACCAGCACGTTTTGAGTTTTATCTTAGGACTTAGGGTGGTCCATGCTTTGGAGGTTGAGAGGACAAGGAGACTCACGGCTTATAAAAACGGAAGTGTTCTTCTCTAGCATTCAGGTAAAGGTAAAGGTTCCCCTCGCACATATGTGCTAGTTGTTCCTGACTCTAGGGGGAGATGCTCATGTCTGTTTCAAAGCCGAAGAGCCAGCGCTGTCCGAAGATGTCTCCGTGGTCATGTGGCCGGCATGACTCAACGCCAAAGGCACACGGAACGCTGTGACCTTCCCACCAAAGGTGGCCCCTATTTTTCTACTTGCATTTTTTTACGTGCTTTCGAATTGCTAGGTTGGCAGAAGCTGGGACAAGGAACGGGAGCTCACCCCGTTACGCGGCACTCGGGATTCGAACCGCTGAACTGCCGACCTTTTGATCGACAAGCTCAGCGTCTTAGCCATTGAGACACTGCACTCAGAGGTGGTGTGAAAAAGGTAGACACCATCTAAATGGGACCTTTCTTAGTAGGTAACCCTTTGCTTTGTGGAAAGTAGCCTTGTCAAGAGTACCAACGGTTGACTTGGCCAACCCATGTCCCACCAAGCTTTTCTGATGAGATCAGAGTTGGCTTAAGGCTGCCCAAAAAAACCCAGAGAAGTGTGCATCCAGAACTGGACCCCAAATCCCAAGTTGGTGTTGGCGGACACCAAGTCACAAGATCATAGCGTTAAGAGCAGTGGTGGGTTTCAAAATTTTTTACTACCGGTTCTGTGGGTGTGGCTTGGTGGGCGTGGCAGGGGAAGGATACTGTAAAATCTCCATTCCCTCCCGATCAGCTGGGACTTGGGAGGCAGAGAATAGATGGGGGCAAGACCAGTCAGAATTTTTACTACCGGTTCTCTGAACTACTCAAAATTTCCGCTACCGGTTCTCCAGAACTGGTCAGAACCTGCTGAAACCCACCTCTGGTTAAGAGAGTTCTGAACCAAAGCAGAATAGAGTAGCGCTCGTCAAGATTTCGTTCCTTTTGGGACCCAACTTGTGGAATACCAAGTCCGCTTCTCCGGTAGGGAAAGAGTTGTCTTCTTCATCGTTTGTCTCTCTCTTTTTTTTGTCCCCCGAGTCATCCCTTCTTTCGTTTCCCTCCCCTTCCCGGCTCCAAGGTCTGTTCTCCAAAGATGACCCCCTCCCTCTCAATCATTTACATCCCTACCACAAAGGGTCACACATGCTTGCACTTGTGGTTTTTCATGCACGTTGAGGCTGCACTCTCTCTCTCTCTTTTTCTCTCTCTTTTCCTGCATCATCACAGTTGTATTTGGCTGCCATGGACAGTAGCAGCCATATGAGCTGGCAGCTTAAGCCCTCGGACAGTGCTCGGACGTACTGGTAGCAGCGCCCGCAAAAACGGAACAGGTACTGAAAAAACAAGGGTCCTTCTCGCTGAAATGCCCACTCACCCACCCGATCCTGCCATCCTGCACTGACTTCCTCAGGTCACCTGCCCAAGACTCCACGTCTCCTCCTCTCCCTGCACTTTCCCCCCTCCCTCCCCCCGTCCTTCTCCCCACCAGGGTCTCTACGCCCTGCTCCTCCGTCGCGGAGGGACCTCTCCATCTTTCCATGGCAAAGCTCCCTGCAATCCTTGTAGCTGTTGAGAATCGGAGCCTCCAGTCCTCACCCATTCCCCAACCCTGGGGAGTTTTGCAATCAAGAAAGGACCTCTCTCGCTTTGGCTCTTCTGGGAACTTCCAAGTTGGAGACCTGGATCTGGATCTGGATTGGCTTATGCATCTCCTCCATGGAACTCTCCCCCCGTGGAGTTTTAGCTAGCTGAGCTCACCTGAAAACATACGTAGCTAATCTCTCTTGCCAAACCTTTTATTTGTCTCTCTCTCCCAATCTCTTTCCCTTTGTGTCACAGTTTCTGTGTATTTTTATTTATTTATTTTTTAAAGTTGACTGGGTGATTTAAGTCATGGCTGTAGCTGCCTGTCTCGTAACAAGAGATTCCGGGCAGCGTGCAAAGCTGAAAAGACCAACCACTGTCAACCATACCCCAGGATGCCGAGTGAGCGAGTGCCGTAAAATTGCTAACAGTCTCCTGACAAATTTTTAAACCCAGAAGGTCTTAAGATTCAGCCAGCTGGGCTTGGAAATCGCCTCCCTTCCATTTTCAAGCAGAGTTTTTCCTAGCTTTTTTTTTTTTTCTTGCCACCTGATTTAGCGGTGGGCGAACCAGCTTCAGAAGTGACAACGAGATATCGTTGTTGACTCTCAACCCTAGCTTAAACCAGGATAAGTGTTTAATCTGGTACAGGTTTCACCCTCCTTGAAAGAAACTAGCTAATCTAGTGGCAAAGTTAAGCTCTGTTCTTATATATCTAAGAATAGAAGCTGGGGGTTCTTCCCCCTAGTTCTAATGTGGATTATTTGTCTGGGCTGGTCTAATTCTATCTTGGTTTTGTTCACGAAGCTGACCAATTCCATATCTCCCAGGTGGGTGCTGCCTCTTAGCTCCATCTACCTTCCATAAGGTAGAAGTAAACCTTGAATACGGGAGCTACCAACAGCCTGCTAAATCCTCCAAGCTCCACTATTGATGATGGGACACAGTTCCCTGGTGGCTGAGAAGACCATTATCCTTGGTCTCCTGCTGATCTCCGCGATACAGCTAGTCACATCCCCTCGATACAACACAGATCCTGGGGAATTCCACCAAGAGTTAGACATAGTCCTTCAGATGCATCCCTCAATCCAGATTGAGTTCAGGATCCCGCGGCGAGAAACCTCCAGAACCCTTCCAGAAAACGGTAGCCTTCAAAGCAGCTAGCTTGCTACCTGCTGCTGCTCAACTCTGATTAAAATCAGACCGGCGCAAAAATATCTCTGAACCGATGAACATCTAGAGAACTCTCGAGAGAAGAGACGTATCCTAACTTTTGTGAAGTGTTCAGGACACAAAAAAACCCCACCCCCCAAGGACAGGCACACACCTACCTTATCTCTGCTGCCATTTGCCTGGTTTATCCATCCTGGCTTTTTGCTTCATCTTATGCTTTTGAGAATCTCTAGAGTTTTGGGTTTTTCCACCACGGCAAACCTTTGGCTCTAGCGTGGATTGTCAAAAGGACACCATGCTTTGCTTGGGGTGCATGAGCCGACACGCGCATGAGGAGGAACTGCGTATGTTATCGGGTGCATGTTTGCCTGTGATCTTCTGCTTCTGGGTTGGTCTCTTATTTCTGCCTCGCTTGGTCCCACTCAAACGTGGGGGCAGGAATCCCAGGGTCCCGTCGTGGCTGTTTGGCTCACTGCATTTTCGTTCCTTTCTCAATGTTCTGTATTACGACTCTTGTATTTCAGACATCTTTGTTTTATTTGGTTTTGCTTTTTTCTGGAAGAGAACTTGAGAGGGGCAGAAGGTAGTCTTTAAGACCAGAACATTTCTTGCTAGGGTCCGAAGTGTCGGCAGATGTTCTCAGCCTCCTTTGTCAGCTCCTTCTTCCAATGCCAACTCGTCTTGAGAAGCAGGGAAGCCAAGACAAGTTATATTTGGCGTTGAGAGGTCCAGATGGCCAGTGTGACTTTTAACGGAAGGGCACACCAGAGGGGGCTCCAGAACATGGTGATACAAGGTCACCCTCGTGACGAAACCACATAAAACGAAAGGTGTAGAGATGGACAGAGGTGTCTGCAAGAACCCAGAAATTTCATCGGAGTGATGAAACCGACATGAGGATCAGGGATGGGCTTCAAAAATTTTAGCAAGGGGTTCTCGGCCCGGTTGCTGGGTGGTAGTTGGCCTCCTGCACCACGGCGGTGTGTGTTTTTGCCCTCCCCGGGCTCCAGAGGTTTTTCTCAAACCTTTGGGAGGGTGAAAATGGCCTCCCCAGGCTCCAGAGGCCCTCTATAGGCCAGAAATGGGCCCATTTCTGGCCTTCTCGAGCTTCCAGTAGGCCCGTTTTTCACTCTTCCCAAGCCTTCGCGCGTGCCCTGCACATACCTGCATCCAAAATGGGCCGTGTGGGGAGGGATGGAGTGGGGCCAGCCAGGAGTGGGATTTGGGGCTTCTCCGAACTGCACAGAATCTTAGCTACAGGTTCTGCCGAACCCTCAGCAGCTCACCCCCCCGATGGGGATGTTCTGCCCTTTTCTTTCAAATTCGTGATACATTTACAGAAGGAATAGAACAGGATGGGGTTTTTTGCTGGACTCTGGAAGTCAACATCAGAAGCTGGGGGGAAAATAGCACAAATCGAGGCCAGGTGACTTAGGATGCTGCAGACGTCCATAAACGTGAGCCAGTAGCCAAGCACCTAAATCACATCACTACAGTTGTGTTTGTGTGTCCGTACGGCCATCAAAAAACACTGAAAATGGGTCGTAAGGAGCTCTGGGGAGGTCCATCATAACTCAGAACAGGTGGTAAATCGAGGATTCCTTGTCTGTCTACTAAAATGGAATCCCATTTTTAAGGCTGTGTTCTCTTTGTGGAACTGAAATCTGTAGGGTGATATATTTTTTTTCCTGCCCTGGGTTTCTTTGAACTTTTGAAGTGGGATGTTAGCAGTTCTGCCCACAAAACCCTTCAGCGCTGCTCTTCAGCACATCCGCAAAGCCATGTTTTCTTGGGTTTGTGATCTCCGGTTGAGTGTCAGCTCCTTCATATGTAACTCAGTGCAAATCTTAAGTTCTCCAAAGGTCCATCAGACCATCACTGTATCTGAAGTAAGGAGAAATTCCCCGACGGTGAGAACAATTCACCAGGGGAACATTTTGCCTTCAGAAGTTGTGAGTGTTCCATCACTGGAGATTTTTTTCGAGAAGACACTGGAGATTCCATTGGTCTGAAATGGTCTAGGGCAGTGTTTCTCAACCTTGGAAGCTTGAAGATGGGTGGACTTCAACTCCCAGAATCCCCCAGCCAGCGGGGGATTCTGGGAGTTGAAGTCCACCCATCTTCAAGCTTCCAAGGTTGAGAAACACTGGTCTAGGGGCTCTCCTGTTTGGGGGTTGAACCAGAAGCTCTCCAAGGTCCCTTGTCAACTCTATGATTCTGAAGTCGTTCTTGCCACATGGGTGTGAGTTGATAATCTTCTTGTTTTCTTCTCTTGGTTTCTGTTCTTTCTCTAGTACACCTCCAGCATGAGAGCCAAATACCTCGCCACCAACCAGCCTCGGCCGGATTCTGGAAGCGTGCACTGAAAACGAGGACACCTGGAAAGTGAAAAAAAAAAAATGGAACGAAATGGGCCAACATTGCAAAAGTCTCTGTTGTCTTCGCAGTTCTATCCTGCTTTTCTCCCCGAGTCCAGGATCCAGCTCAGTTGCATTTCCTGCTGCTTCTTCCCTAGCTTGACCTGGCCCATGTCCATGTGAAGACACCTCCGTAGAAGCTTATTGCAGATTCTGGGCTCTGTTCCCTCGCAGTTCTCTCTCTACAGAGAGAGGGAACACACCTCCTCATGCTCATGTCCACGTGCTGAAGACCTCCTGGTCCTCTTGTGTTCCTTCGCTGTACAGGGAATACGCTTTTGATGCCCGGAAATGGTCAAGTTGACCATCTCCTCCCTAAGGCTTCTGTTTAACCCACCAGAAACGATTGGATGAACCAGATGACTTAAAACTGGATCACGGTCTGGAAGTGCTGTTGATGTGGCACGCTTGAAACTAAAGCCATCTTTAATGTCCGTTCTGCCATGAAGCTCGGAGATCTCTCAGCTTCTCCTCCAGATCCCTCTTCTTGGAGCTGCTGTAGAGGCATCTTCGTTTCTCCTGCCAGCATTGGTAGATCTCCAACCTGGGATCTTCGCAAGTCCTTGGTCCCTTCCCTATTACAACGTGGTCTGCTAATTTAACCCTTTGCGATTCTCGGATACCTCTACTGCAAGTTTACTCCTCGGTTTTACTATCTGGGTTGAAAGTCCTGGAGAGAAGGGAGAAGGCTTCCTGCACCAGCTTGTATGTGCTTGGATGTATGTGCTCGGTTTGCAGACACATACAAACACAGCCTTATATGAGCACACACTGTTTGTGCTCTGTCTGCCTTCCTCCTTTGTATCTGTCCTTCCCACCAGCTCCCATCAAACATCTCTTGAGCTGATGTGAAGTCATCAAACTGGAAACGATCACTCTTTCGGTGCCAAAATATTCCAGGAAAATATTTAAGGAGTGCTGTAGATTGGATGGGGAGGGCTGTGAAATATCAAATTTTGGGAGAAGGATTTGACACGTCAAGGAGATACCAGCAAAACTGAGCTTCTTCTCGAAGTTCAAAGGTCCTCCCAAGGTCCTCCTAAGTTAGACTTCTCCATGCTTATCATTTGGGCCTCTTTGGGGAGTTAGGACAGCCGAATCCCTGGAAGTGTTGATGTTAGATGGAGAAAGGAGAGTCATCACTGGTCCTGTATCCTTAAATCAGGAAGCAAAGATTTAAAAAAAATACTGTTATGGGAAGACACTTTTGAAGTTCAGGGCTGGAAGGGGGTCTCCAGATAGGCTCTCCCCTTAATTTGAAGGCCATCTGGGGACCAGTTCTTAACTTGTTGACAGTAAAGGTGAGCAGCAAATTGGGAGGAAGAACAGTTGCTGCAGGACACCTACTGTGTGAGATGATTAGGATAGTTGAATAGCTGCACCCTATTCTTATTTATCTCTTGGGTCTTCTCGTTCTGAAAGCACGGAGATTTCCTTTTCAGGTTTTGCACACTTGAGAGGAGGTTTTGCTTGCTTTCGCTCTTGAGAGATGCCTCCCCCCCCACACACACACACAATCACCTCCGCCATAATTGCTTGCTTGCTTTGAAAATTTAGCCTGTCCAAAGGCTCTGAAATCCTTAGATGCAGCTTGCAGCAGAACGAGGAGATACAAAAACCACTGTTAGGTCTTTCTTGAGCAACTAGGGTGACGTAAGCCATTATTTGTGTGTAAGTGCAGGGAGCCTACTCAGCTTCGCAATCTGATCTCTAGATCCCAGTCACGCAGCTCATCACCCAGTGGTGTTGGGACAGGCATTGGACCTACTTCTGACCAGGAAGGTATTTGTACAAAAATGAAACCTCCAAAAAAAAAAAAAATACATTCCTTCACAGACCACCTTTTGAAGCGTGCCCTTAAAAAAACAAAATTCAGTCTTCTGGATCATGCATAGGTGATCACAGATCTTCAGAAGGACATTCTTGGTAGCTCAGTTTGTGGAGAACAGGAAGCAGGAGAACCCCTTCCTGCTCCAGTCTTCTCCAGGCAGAAGAAAAAACATGAGCGGGATCATCTTAAGGAAGGAACCGGCAACGTAGGTTGGGATCATAACCACTATAGAAATTTGACTTTCTCCTGAGAAGTCGCCATCGCTTAGATGGTGAAGAAACTTCAGCTTGGGGGTGGTCCTGCACGAATGGAAGATGTCCCCCGCATTTTCCAACAAGCAGAAGACAACCTGGTGGAGAAGACCCAAGTTGTGAGATCTTGGTCGGGAGTTTGGCGCAGGGTGAATCTTCTCCAGGGACTTTGAACTCGGCTCAGCTTTTCAACTAACCGAGATACAGAATCATCTCAAACTCAAAACTATGGTGCGTGCTTCTATCGACGGGGGCAGGAGCCAACTGGGTGTGTGTTGGATGCACCCCCCCTCTGCACCCACCCGTGTAAATATGGATTGCTGAGGACGCCAAGAGCCCGTGCAGCTCTCGTGAGGCATGTCTGAATGGCTCTCTTTTCAGAAAATGTGAGTTGTGTTGCATGGACACTTGTTTGCCTTCAAAGAAAAGCCGGGGTTACTTTCCCCCGTCTTCTCCTTCGTGCCAAGCATCCGTGGCGACCATTTCGACTGCTAAGGGCTGCTCACCCGCTGGCTGTCCTCTCCTTCCAAACCAGCTTGTCCCAAGTTTTACCCCCTCCCCCTCCCCACTTCCTCCCTCAATTCTTGGCTTGGCAAAGAGCGTTGACCTTTGGCTGGCTCCGTGTCTTCATCAGGTCTTCTGCACCAGCTTCTTCGGCACCGTAGGCGAAAAACCCCACCAAATAGTTTATTTTCCTGTTTTCTTAGCTTTCTCTCTCTCTCTCTTTGGGTTTTTTTCTTTTTTGTTTTTTTTTTGTTTGTTTGTTTGCAAGTTAAAAACTCTCAGGATGGCGCCGTAGACTTTTCCGGCGATTTGCGTCAGGGGGAGGAACCATCCTTGTGGACTTTTTGGCTGAAGAAATTCAAGAGATGTTGAGTGGCAGGTCGCTAAGACTGCTTGGCCAGAACCTGAAGTAGGGGACAAGAGGTTGGAGTGGAAAAGCGGAGTCCTAAAACCCTTCCTTCCTTCCTTTTTTCCCCTTCCTTTCTTTCCTGAGAGCCATTGGCAAGGGAATCGGTTTTTCCCGCGACGAACATCACATGCCCTTTCTTGAATCCTAAAGGAAACTAGGGACCATCTGCAGCTTATGAGGCATCTCTCCACAATGTGACATGTACATAGCATGGGGATGGACTTCTCCCGCCCAACGTTGAAGACTGCATTGTAATTGTTTTAGGGTTTTTTTTTTTTTTTTTTTTTTTTAATCGAATCAAGACTTGGCTGTGAATTTATTTTTGTGTGTGCTGTCCAAAAAAAAAAAAAGTGTTGTGTTTTTGTATCCTATCTGTATAATATTAACTCACTTCGTTTTTGGATTTTCTTTGGCTTCTTCAGATGAGAAAAGGTTTTAAGGTGAAGAGAAAAAAAAATATTGATATTCATCCATGTAGACTTGAAGGTTAATTTCTTCTCGACCAGCCTCAATGCAACGAAACAAAACAACAAAAACACAAAAAAAGGAAATCTGAAGGGTGTGTGTGAATTAAATACCTCAGGTGTGTGGCCAGCTTTTAAACTGGAAGGAAGAGGAAGGAGCAGCTTAAACCTGGCCTAAACTTGGAACAGTTTTACTGAGGGCAAAATTTCTGGAGCATCACCGAAAATGTGTGCATTTCGCATGTGTGCGTTAAATTCAGTTCCTGCTCGACTCAGCACACTTGCCATGTAGATCTGTTGTGCTTGTTTATCTGTGGCCCATAAGGGACCCAAGATCTATAGTTTCCCCCAAAGCATGCTAGCGCTTCCTAAGATCTACTAACTAGGAAGTTGAGTAGTTGGGAATATCTGTTGGTGTTTCTCTTAGGATCCTTTGTGTGTTCAAGAAGGCCAAGATTGTGATCTCTTGGGTGGTCAGCTTGAGTAGAGAGGAAGGCCAGAAGATGGTGTGGGGTGCGATCTGTGTAGCCAGCAAGGCCAAGAAGAAGGTTGAATGATGGGTCTGGTCCATAGTTCAGTTTTGACCGTGGATGGAGGCCGTTGGGGCAGAAGGCAAGTCCCTTTTGGGTATGTCTGCTTTGACACTCACTTGACCAACTGCCCATTTCTTCTTTGAAAGACCGAGATCTAGGACTTAGTACATCAGGTCATGTCAAAAAGCTTCTTGCGGTGAAGGTTCTGGACATTGTTCAACCGTACCTGTGCCAAAAATAAAGTCTTTTAAAAGCCATAGCGATGAAACAAGGCTGGAGTTGTTCAACTTTGGTCCTTACCCCACCCTTTCTGAGCTGTTGCTTAAGAGCAGGTGCTCTATTGGCTGCTTCCCCCATCAATCAGGCATCTTCCTCCGGGAAGTATGAAGCTTAATTAAAGTGAGGAGGTCCAGTTCAGGCGTCTCAGATGAGGGACAATAGAGAAATGTGGATCGCAGCTTCCTGCAGCTTGCAAGCTCTTGTCTTCAAGAGTCCTTGAAGGATCTGGCTTGGACCACATTGGGTTAAAAAAAAGCCTTTTCTTCAGCAAAAAAAAAAAAATTGAGCCTTCCGCCTTCTGTTTTTGTCCTTCTTCATCCTGTAATTGATGGCCAAGTAGGTAGACAAGGACTCAAAAAAAACCCCATCTAGATCTCTGCTCATTTTTGAGGTGTGTTCCTCAGAGAGATGCTTCAGACCATGCATGATCACCAAAGTTCTTTTAAGAGTGAACCTCTCAGACCTGAAGGAATTTAGACAGGCCCAGAGTTAGATCTCTAGATCCTAGGTGTTGTGAGTATGTCATGGTGATGCATAGCTAGCTTTGAGATCCTTGGAACATCGATAACTGGAACCAGCTCCTCCACGTATCAAAGCAGGTTGTTGGCCAGGTCTTCTGGTCCACTGCTCAGTGGAAGGGCATATGCCTTGCAGGCAAGAGATCCAGTCCTTAATCATTTCCAAATGGAGCAGAAAACGTTACCACCAGGCATTGGTAAGAGGACCAAGTACTAAGTGCTTTGGTTCAATCTATGGCAGATGCTCCTGCTTGTAGCTAATGAGTTCTCTTTGAGAGAGGTGACTCCCTGTGCCACCAAGGACAGGTGCTGAGAAACTGATGGGACCTCTCTCCACCATCAGCTAATATGTAGTGGTGGGAGACCTCCCCATCCTTGTTAGTTAATCTTCAGATTTCCCCTGTAGACCAGGGGTCTCCAACCTTGGCAGCCTTAAAACTTGTGGACTTCAACTCTCAGAGTTCCTCAGCCAGCTTGGCTCTGGGAGTTGAAGTCCACAAGTCTTAAAGTTGCCAAGGTTGGAGACCCCTGCTGTAGACCATCTCCCAACCTCAGGGAGCTTCTGAGAGGGGGAACACGGTGCGCCTGGGACCAAACAGACACAGCGACACACTCAAGAGGCCAACCTTAGAACTTGTGTTAGCAGGGCCATTCCGTATCTTGGACCGCGGTAAGCAGGGCTGAACATTTTCTTACGCTTTTCAACAACGCAACAACCACAGCCACCAGCGGCAGCTGCTGGACTAGCGTCAGGCTGGTTCTTTGGTGCTTTGTGTATTCAACAACTACACTTTTGTCTCTATGCAAGGTGGGACGTTCCTCCTGTTTTCACCCCTCTCCTCTCTGGTAACCCAGATCCATCTCTCAGGCTTCTCCAATCTAGTTGGGGGTTGGGCTGACGTCTCCCTGAATCAACTCAGTTTTTCAGGGAGGTTGGATGGGGATTCTGGGCATTGTAATCCCTCGAGAGCTTCTGATTCCCAGGAATATTGGTGTTGCGGTCAAGAACTGGGCCCTGTTTTATTCTCTTTCCCCTACTTCAATCAATTTTGCGTTGAAGTCTCTCTTAGCAGGCTTGCCGATATTGTGGCTGCGTCTTTCATGTTTCGCCCCCAGAGCAAGCAAGCCCATTAAAACCCCAGTTACAAAGAATCCTGGTTTATTACCCATCCAAAATGCAGCCTAAATTGGGCAGGCAACGCCACCTCTTATGACGCAAGGGCCAAGCTTCACCTTCTGAATTCCTGCCTGCCCGTGAATTTGGTGAGTTTGGCGCTGGGGTCCGTTGGCAACCAGCAAATTGTATTTTCTCCTCTGTTCATTACAGACGCAAACCTGGGAAATCGATTGTAACTTTAATTCTGTCAATCTCCAATTTTTTAATTATTATTATTTGAGAGGTGTGGCAAATTCTACCAAGTCGAACTCCGAACTGGCGTTTTCAACCCGGGTTTTTTGCTTTAAACCACAATGGTTAATACAGCCTTCTACTTTTATGTATACATATATAATATATGTATATGAAATATATATAAATATAATTTTTTAAAGCCTTTAGACACGACTAGCTTCTTTCAGAGTTCTCCACCGGATACCCCTCCTCCGAAAAAAAAAACATTTTTGAAATTTCACGGGGGTTTAAATGGAGGGGGTGGGGTTTCAGCCTGATGACGATTATTTTTTAAAAAAACTTTTCTTTTGAATTTTTGGTTGATTTTTACGACATTGTACTGTAGCTGTTTTTTGTTTTGTTTTGAACTGGTTTGTGTTCTTTCTGTTCTGCAGATATTACAACAGAAATGATTCTAAATGTAATTCCTGTGGTTTCTATTCCGCTTGGGTTTCATGTTTTAAAATAAACAACTTTGAAAAGGCTCTGCTTTGGCTAATGAATGGTTTATTCCAGTGGTGAAATTCAATTTTTTTTACTACCGGTTCTGTGGGTGTGGCTTGGTGGGCGTGGCAGGGGAAGGATACTGCAAAATCTCCATTCCCACCCCACTCCAGGGGAAGGATACTGCAAAATCCCCACTCCCACCCCATTCCAGGGGAAGGATATTGCAAAATCTCCATTCTCACCCCATTCCAGGGGAAGGATACTGCAAAATCCCCATTCCCTCCCCACTCTTGGGGGAAGAATATCGCAAAATCTCCCATTCCCTCCCCACTCCTGGGGGAAGTATATTGCAAAATCTCCATTCCCACCCCGCTCTGGGGCCAGCCAGAGGTGGTATTTACCCGTTCTCTGAACTACTCAAAATTTCTGCTACCGGTTCTCCAGAACCTGTGAGAACCTGCTGGATTTCACCCGATTTATATTGTTCGCTGTTAGTGGCTTTTATCATTTGTCTGGTGGGTTGTACCTAGTCCTTCCACAAGGTGGCAGCACCTGTCTGCGTTTTCCATGGACAAAGGAGAACTCTCCATTGAAAATCAGATAGAATTAGCATACAGGTATTCCTCAATTTACGACCGTTTCTTTATGAAAAAAACCCCACACACTCATTTCTCACACTTGCGACCGCTGATCACGTGATCAAAATTCAGACGCTTGGCAGCTGGCTCGTATTTATGACGGTCACAGCCTCCCGGGGGGAGGGGTTGCGTGATTCCGTTTTGCGACCTCCCGACAAGCAAAGTCAAAGGGGAAGCAGGATCCACTTAACAACCATCTTACTAACTTAACAACTGCGGGGATTCACTTAGCAACGCGCAGCAAGAGTGGTGGTACAATGGGACAAAGCTCGCTTCGCAAATGTCTGGCTTAGCGTCAAGTCATTTCAGGGCTCAGTTGTAGTCGTAAATCGAGGACTACCTGTAAATTCCTCCATCGAGCTTTCAGATGTAGACTCCTAGAATCACAGAGGAGGAAGGGACCTTAGAGGTTTTCTAGTCCAACCCACTGCCCTTCCTGGGTGTCAAGCCTCTACTCACAAGCTAGGTTAGTTCTTATGATTTAGAACGGAGTTACAGAGTTGGAAGGAACCTTCTGGTCTTTCTCAAATTTGGCAACTTGAAGACTTGTGGACTTCAACTCCCAGAATTCCCCAGGAAGCAGAGAAAGCAATAAGTGGTCAAAAAAACAACGAGAAGAGCTTCAAGTAATTAATTAGCCAACAAATTCTTTTATTGAAAGCACAGAGAAGACACAGGCCACAGGCACTCTGGGGCAGTGATCAGGTTTAATTCCCTGAGAATATTAATCATTATTTCCCTCCCACACATTTTTCTTCTTTAATATATATATATATATGTATTTATAGCGAGAGTCACATAATATATATATATATATGTATGTATATGTACACTACTTTACAGAAAGCAACTTCCCAGATACTGGGATTTATAAATTACAGATAAGTGACAAACGACACAAAACTTTTTCCATTTGTTTGTTCTTTCAAAAGATCAGGAAAAAAAACAAACATTTTTCCTTTTTTTTTTTTGCTGATCCACAAGGAAACAAAAAAACACACTTTGAAACCCACCCTTGACAAAAATCACACAGGACTCAACGTTTTTCACACACACACACAAAAAGGCACAGTAAATAACACTGTTGCAATAAAATATTTACAAACACTACCCAGTATGGGCCTTTTTGTTGTTGTTGTTGTTGGTTTTTGTTTTTTATTTTTTATTTTTTTCATTTGCAAGGGAAGCTTTCGCCTCTCCGCCTCTGTCTTTGGGACCTGGGAAGAAAAAAAACTCATACGGCATTTTGCAGGAGAGTTAAATTCAACTCTTGCGGTGAAAATGCTACAGCCAAATCTCCCGGCCCAGAGACAGAGAAGTTTGCAGCGAAAGGAGACCATGTCCAATTTACCAGGGATCCCTCATTGCTTCTAACATCTTTATACTCCTTTTAAATTAATACATGAGTCATTCCTACCAACTGCAAAACGTTGAGCCTGGATGTTGCTACGATCACATCTCGATTTTACAGACCCTGATTCAACAGACTTTGGATTTAACAGACAATATCTGCATTTGGGTGGCTTCGGCAAACAACAGCTTGGTAAATCAGACCATGCGCATAGAATTTTTTTTTTTTTTTGTAAAGTACATGGGTATACGACATAAATATTATGAACATCGCGTAACATTCACGGGCGTGACATAACGTTGGGTTTAATGAACATTTGGCTTTTAACGGACACGGGTTCCTCCCAATTGGTCCATAAAATTAAAAGACTTACTTACAGTAAGTAAAATTAAATATGACTTAAATTACTTACTTAAATATTAATTCAGGTGGGGCCCTATGTCGTGAGCCAACATCTTGTGCTTTCCTGGGAACAAACCCCATTCAACAGGGTAGGATCTCCTCCTGAGTAAACTCCACAGAGGATTGCTCATTATATATATATAAATTATATTTAGTAGAATCAAAATAATTGCATCTTCAAAGGGTCTAAAATTCTGAATCTACATAGGCTTCCGTTGTCATTCTTACCGACATTTGTGCAGCAAGACAGAACTAGGAATACAGCAAAGTGAGTGTTTGCAATAGATAAATAGATAGATAGATAGATAGATAGATAGATAGATAGATAGATAGATACACGGTATATAAGAGGGAGGGCGGGAGAGGGAGAGATAGGAGAGAGAGAAAGAGATACACAGAGAAAGAGAGAGAGACAGAGATGAGAGAGAAAGAGAGATGGAGGGTGGGAGGAAGGGAGGGAGTGGGAGAGATAGGAGAGAGAGAAAGATGAGAGAGAGAGATACTGAGAGAGATGAGAGAGAGAGAGAGAGACAGATAGGAATTGAGGATTTCTGGAGCTGTAGCCTTCCAATCTGCTATCAACTCCTTGCTTACATTTGGTATTGAATATTGATTTAATTAAATTAAATCAGAATTAAATGCAACTACGCAACTACGGGTGCATTCCATAGTTCTGGACTTAGGTGCAGTTTTGCAATCCTTTGCCTGTTTACTCGTAAGAAGCCCACCAAAGCTTCTGTAAAGGCGATTGTTGAAGAGACCAGCTCTAAATGAATTTAGGGGAGAAAAAAAAAAATACCTCTCAGAGGAAAGTCTACAAACAGCACGAGGGAAAGGAACAAAAACACACACAGAGCAAATCAGCAAAAAAAAACCTTGTTTCCTATGTAAACCTTCATCTGAAAAATTACGCGGAGCCTGAAAAAGCAGGAAAGGGGTGGGGCGGGGGGGAAAGGTATGAAAAAAAATAGGAAAAACGATAGCCGATGGCCAAAAGTAGCTTTTTCTTCAAGGGGACGTCTGCTAGCTATGTTAGATTCCCACTCCAATAGTTCCCAGCCAGAAAAATGATTGGAACTGGAGTGCCACAAAGCTAAAGGATCCCAGCTGAAAAAGATCAGGTTTGGGATGGGAGGTGGGTATGTGGAAAAATCTGCAAAATGGCATCCTGGCTTTGATTACAATGCTGTGGAACGCCATCTTGTAGATCTTGGTAGCCTTAAACAGCCCAAACCACTATACAACCAGGCTAAGCGTTAGTCCGGTGTTTCTCAAAACTGGGCAACTTTTAAGACGAGTGGACTTCAACTCCTCAAATTCCCCAAAATTACGATGGGTGGACTTCAGCTCCCAGAATTCCCCAACCAGCATGCTTTAAAATGTGTGGACTTCAGCTCCCAGAATTCCCCAGCCAGCATGCTTTAAAATGTGTGGACTTCAGCTCCCAGAATTCCCCAACCAGCATGCTTTAAGATGCGTGGACTTCAGCTCCCAGAATTCCCCAGCCAGCATGCTTTAAGACGCGTGGACTTCGATTCCCAGAATTCCCCACCACCTAGCATGCTTTAAGCCCCATGGACTTCAGCTCCCAGAATTCCCCAGCCAGTACGCTTTACATGGAAAGTGGCTGGGGAATTCTGGGAATTGAAATCCACCCGTCTTAAAAGTTACGAGTTTGAGAAACGCTTACTGGACTTTTCTTTCAACCAGTTAAAATGGGGCAATCCCATACCTGCTTAGCATCTGCCACAATACGTGGTTTTAAAAGTGCTTAAGATTTGGCAGGTTGCACAGTGTGTTTTGGGCTTTTCACGGCTCGTGAGGAATGGAGGGGGGGTGGGATGGGCAGGGAAAGGATGCACCTCTCAAAATATTCTGGAGAAGGGCTGACTTTTTTCTGCAAAGAAACCTGCAGAGTTGCCTCTTCAGCAGGTGGCAGATAGGAAAGATCTTCTTAAACACAACCAGCCTTGAAGCTCTTACAGCAACTATATCACAATTGTTCTTGCATCGGGAGCTTCTAAAATATTTATACCCTGATAGTCACCGGGAGACGGACGCAGCGAGGACCACAAGACCACACAGCAGCCGGTGGAAACAGACACATACATACACTGTGAACTAACCACAGTAATTAGGAGATCATTGCTTCACAGCAAACGAAGGGCGCACGCATACAGACACGATCATAAAAAAAATACGGGTCCCGGAAGCTCTTCGGATACCGGAGAACTCGGGACGAGGTTAAAGGGACGTCGAGATCTTTAGTACACGACGTCGGGAGGACACCAAGGCGTATCCGGGTAGAGCAAGCAATGGATGGAGCGAAACCTAGAAGAAGAAGAAGAAGAAGAAAAAATACGGGTGTTGGGAGGAACGTCAAAGAAGGACACAGCCAGATCAGTATCAGCGTACAACTTGGGATCTAAACTGTAACGTCTTGGGGGGGGATGTGATTGCTTTGTGCGACCTTCTGATGAGCAACGTCAACGCGGAAGCCAGGTTCACTTAAGGACCGCCTTACTAGCTTAACAAAGGCAGCAAGGAAGGTCGCAAAAGGGGGCAAAGCTCCCTTAACAACCGTCTTGCTTAGCCATGGAAATTTTGGGCTCGGTTGCGGTCGTTAAGTCGAGGACTGCCTGTGTGGTGTGAAAGGCCACTGCAAATACCTGTGGATGCCCAAGAGGTTGCAGAACTAAATCTCACAATTTGGAAGTAAATCCTTTGAAGCCAGAGGGACTTCTGACAAAATCTATCTATCTGTCTGTCTATCTATCTATCTATCTATCTATCTATCTATCTATCTATCTATCTATCTATCATCTATCAATCTATCATCTATTATTTATCTATCATCTATCATCTGTCTATCTATCAATCATCTGTCTATCATTTATCTATCATCTGTCTATCAATCAATCTATCTATCTATCATCTATCTATCTATCTATCTATCTATCTATCTATCTATCTATCTATCTATCTATCTATCTATCTATCTATTGTCTCTTTCTCCCTCCCTCCCTCCATCATCCATCTATATCTATCTATCTATCTATCTATCTATCTATCTATCTATCTATCTATTATCTATCTATCTATCTATCTATCTATCTATCTATCTATCTCTCCCTCCCTCATCTCCATATCTATCTATCTATCTATCTATCTATCTATCTATCTATCTACTCTATCTCTATCTATCTATCTCTATCTATCTATCTATCTATCTATCATCTATCTATCTATCTATCTATATCTATCTATCTATCATCTCTATCTATCTATCTATCTATCTATCTATCTATCTATCTATCTATCTATCTATCTGCAAAGATTAGGGGGGTGGAAATATCGTTGATTTTCCTTTCTGTCATTCTAACCTCTTTCCTTCATACAGTGTAAATTTCAGCTAAATCAGACGACAAACAGATGTGATTCTTACCTGGAAGGATCTTCCTCCACCGAGAAAGCCCCCTTCATATGGATGGAATTCCTCTTGTTTTCAAACATCCCATAACTCAAAGTGACCTTGGGAAAAAGTGAAAAAAAATTGCAAGACTGAGCTACAAAGGCAGCAAAGAGGCGCTCCTTTTTAAAACAGTTGTTGGAATTGAGTATGTCTAGTTTAATGAAAAGAAGGACTAGGGGAGACATGATAGCAGTCTTCCAATATCTCAGGGGCTGCCCCAAAGAAGAGGGAGTCAATCTCTTCTCCAAAGCACCTGAGGGCAGGACAAGAAGCAATGGGTGGAAACTAATCAAGGAGAGAAGCAACTTAGGAGAAATTTCCTGACAGTGAGGACAATTAACCAGTGGAACAACTTGCCTCCAGAAGTTATGGGTGCTCCACCACTGGAGATTTTTAAGAAGAGACCAGATAGCCACTATCTGAAATGGGATAGGTCTCTTGCCGGAGCAGGGGGTTGGACTAGAAGACCTCCAAGGTCCCTTCCAACCCAAAATATCAATTCATTAGAACATTTATTTGTGCGTGGGGGTGGGGAGAGATGAGGATCTCCTGGCCAACTTTGTAGCCTTCCTCCCAGGATGATTTCAGCTGGGGTAAGTTTGACCCAGATTCCCAACTTCTGAACGTCTGCATTTTTAAAGCTTTGTTTCTGGGCCTGGGTGACTTAAATCCTTTAGCGTTTTTACCTGCTTATGGATCTCGGATTTGGGCACTTGATGGAGATTCTCGAGATGCGAGTGGAAAAGATTACTTCGGATCAGTTTCACCCCCAGGACAGACTCTATGATGTACCCAATGGTGCAATCATCAGGGAGGCGAATCTTTTCCGCGGTGCTCATGAAGTGCCCACCGCTGGAGAGGGAGAGAGAGAAAAGGACGAGAATTGGAGAAGAGTCAGAAAAAAATAGGTTTTATTATTATTCCGCCTGTTCCCCATTTGAAAACCCAAAAACTCTAACATTAAAAGCCCTCACGTTTATATCTGTGTATGTGTAAGTGCGAACACAATTCGTTAATGTGGTTTTCCAACTTGGTGGGAATCTCAGGTGTCGCATTCAGCCGTGACTTGCTAAGCACAATTGGGTCTCCTAAGAGGTTAAACCCAGAGCGTAGGGAAATTTGGAAAATTAAGGGGGAAACTTGCTAAAACTTTGGTGTCCCAGGAAGCAACTTGCTTTATACTTTTAAGAAACGGCCTTCCACATCAAAGATGCTAAAAAGTAGCCCATAAATATTATGGAGTTTGATCTGTAAGCCACCATTGAAATGTGTCAGGGATGATTGATATGCATACCTTGCTTATTTTTAATCCTCCAGCTTCCATATTGCAACTACTCTGCATTACTATTAATCTTCTCATCGTTCCTATCACCCATCTCCTCCCACTTATGACTGCATGACTGTAACTTGTTGCTGTATCCTTACGATTTATATTGATTGTTTCCTAGTATGATTCGATTGCTTATTTGTACTCTATGACTATCATTAAGTGTTGTACCTTATGATTCTTGACGAATGTATCTTGTCTTTTTATGTACACTGAGAACATGTGCACCAAAAACAAATTCCTTGTGTGTCCAATCATACTTGGCCAATAAAGAATTCTATTCTACTTTACACTCAACCAAAAGTAGTCTCTTACCTGGCCCAAGGGGTCATCTTCAGTGCCAGACCACGACTGATGCAGAAACCAGCACCACCAGTGGCAAACCAGAAGTGGACCGGATGCTGTGGGATGAGAAGAATCAAGAGATGAAGACTCAAGAAGGGTCTTCTTTGACACAGAAGAGCACATGGAGTCAAAGCTTTGGCCAACATCCCAGAGAAAGTTGGGACCCAGAGAGAGAATCCCATCCAAGGTCTTCTCCAAGAAATGGGTGACCAGGAGAGTCCCTTCCTTCAGAAGATGCGCATGGACAACCCTGAATGTTCACCACCAAGTCCCCTCATTCTCCTTGTTGGCTTACCATCTTGTTCTCGCTGATTCTCTCGGTGGCCTGGATGGGCCTGTCCAGACTGGGTTTTCCAATGTAGATATCCTGCGTGTGAGCATAGCTGGAGAGCAATTTGACCAACATCCGGACATTCACGTAATTATCATCGTCCACGTGGCAAAACCACCTAATGCAAGGATGAAAACAAGACTGGATTAGGTCAGGAACCAGGGAATTCAAAGATGCTTAAATCACTGATCTCTGATCTATTAGGACACCAACTCAAGAACTTTAGCCTTTAAGCATTTTAACTGACCCTCAGTGGGCAGGATCACCATATTCAAGGAGAATATGTCCTTCAAGAAGGACAAAGGAGAAGAATTCAGTCCTCCATTTAAGTGTTGAACTTGCGTGGATCAAGGGGATGTCCTACACCTGAACTATCTTCCCTTCCAGAAGAAGGGTATCCAGATCCTACAGCTTTGGAAACCACGGCTTTGAATCTCCCTCCCCAACCACCCTCTTCTCTGCTCTTACTTTCGTCCGGATTCGATGAACTTGTCGTATTCCACCGCCATCTTGCAGGATAAGGCTTGGCGACTGTGCGCAGAAGAACAATTGGTGTTGATGACGTTTCCTAAAGAGAGACAAGGGGGGAAAAAAATATTCAATTGACTTAAAAGACAAAGTTACTACAACTGTATTCAAAAATCCGTAACATGAGAAGGATCTTCATTAGGCCCAGCAAAGGGGATGCTTTTCAAACGTTTTGCATCCTCTTTGAGGACATTGTGGTGTTCCTCAAAACAGTGATGTCCAACTATGGATATTTTTCCCGCCTACGGACCCATTTGGTTTATGATGTTCTCCATTATCCTGCATCTATCAATCCATCTTGACCATCTAGATCTCAGCTAGGGGTTTGATCCAGCCCTGTGATCAAGTTCCTCATCCCTGGATCAGAACCCTACAAGATCACTTCAAGTTCTCATACTGTATTGAGCTTATTAGCTCAATATTCAGGCACGGGACATCCTGCTGAAAATTTCAGGCTGTAAGTAGGAAAGTTCAACCAGAAGGTGGGTGGAGAAACAGGCAACCATCACACCTGTCCAAGGATTTTGATACCTTTAGAGTCACACTTCCCTTGAGGAATTGGGAATATCTCCCAATTCCTCAAAACCAGAAGATGACTTGAGTAACCAACAAGAAAACCATCCTTGATAGTAGACCCAAAGTTGCTTTGCCAAAAGGCAACTGGACTTTCTTGATTTCTTCCTTGAACACTTTTCACTTCTCATCTGAAGGAGCTTCTTGGATGAGAAGCAAAAGAAGAAAAAAAACCCAATAAAGTTCAGTTGCCTTTGATAAAGCACCTTTGGGACAACCATGACCTGGATGGTGGAGAATCTCCATGTCTTTATAGTAGCTAAAGCTTCAAGCTGATTCCCGGAATATTTCCTCCCCAAAGGAGCAACCTTCTGCAGATGTTTAACTATTGGCCAAGACAAACTCAGATGCATTGTCTTCTTGTTGACCAAATGGAAGTCCCTTTGTTCCCAGCCTTAACTCAGCCAAGTGTTAACTCAGAAAGGAAAAACGTGGGAAGTGGAACTGAAAACTGGATCTTTCCCAGCCCCCTTTTAACAGGGGGAGAAGTCCTTGTCCCGCTTATTCATGCCAATCTTTTCTCATCATTTGCCACCTGCTACTCCTTTGGCTGTCTGGAGGGGAATCAATTGAAGGCATGAATAGAGCCCATTAGCATCAGAAGAATAGGAGGGCCTGGGAGGAGGAGAGGCGGGGAGGGGAGGGGGTCTCATTAAACACTCACTGAGTAAGTATCCACCTTCTCCCCTCATCCCCTCGGGAAAGTTAATCGCCACATTCCCTCGGAATCCCACCATTAGGGTCTGTAAGAAAGGGGCATTTTCGACACCTGCCCAAAGAGGAAATCCATCAACTCACCCATTCTCTGCTTGAGTTCTTGGTCTTCGCCATCGGTGAAGATGTAGGTCTAAAAAGGAGGGGAGGGGAGGGGAAAATATTTAGGAATGTGCTGCTTTCAATCATGTCAAGCCGACGACGTATTAGGGCATCGAGGGTTACAAATCTAAGATTGCATTCATTCAAATCCCCCATGCAAATTGCAGCCGTTTGATGGAGATTTGCATAAGCATTCTGTTGCATAAATCATGGCTTGAAGTTTATAGAGCGGGGTGCAAACCAGGCTTGGGATGTTTTTGGGTAAACGTTGTTTTAAGCCAAGCTGTTTTGGTGCCTCTGCCCCCCGCCCCCACCCCTCCCACTGTAAGCGTTCGGGTCACCAGGTTGAGTTCGCTGATATTATTTCAGGGAGATCTCAAGTTTTTGCACAAAGGCCCAGGAGAAGTTTTTTTGGGGAAAAAAAAAAAGATAAAAGCGGAAAATAAACCCAGCCTGGAGCACAAGCTTCATTTGCATTGCAAAGAGATTATTGATTAAACACTTCAAAAAGCCAGGGAAGGTCAGGAGAAAAAAATGAAGAGGTGGGTGCCTTCGCCAGGTGACTGTTCACCTGTCCATCTGTTGCCTTTGGAATATTGCATTGAGGATTTGCATTAATTGGGGGATTCGGGCACGGCACACCTGCTGTGGTTCCCCCAACCCTTCCAAGGCCTGCCTGCTTCCCCACCTTCTGGGTTCTTCTGTCCATTAAGCTGCTGTGATCACACCACAAATCCAGGGGTTGCCAACTCTGGTCTTCACCCTCCACCCACACCTGCCCCTTAGGCCCTGCTGATAACGGGTGGCAGCACCACCCCTCCTTGCCTGGAAGTGGTTCGCCTCCAACGGCCACCTGAACAGAAGCCAAAACGGGCGAAGGCCGCCCCGCCCTGCCATCTCCACCACCTGCCTGGCTGCACTTTCTTATTGACAGAGGGAGGGAGGGAGGGCCTGGCATCTGCTGCCTGTCTGGGAGGGCTGGCGGCCTGGGGGGTGGTAGTGGTGGTGGTGGCAAGGAGTGGGGATTGTTCAGCATCTGGTTGGGAGAGACGAGAGGAAGGAAGGAAGGAAGGAAGGAAGGAAGGAAGGAAGGAAGGAAGGAAGGAAGGAAGGAGAGAAAGAAAGAAAGAAGGAAGGAGAAAAAGAAAGAAAAAGAAGGAAGGAAGGAGAAAAAGATAAAAGGAAGGAAGGAAGGATGGATGGAAGGAGAAAAAGAAAGAAAAGGAAGGAAGGAAAAAGGAAAAGGAATGAAAGAAAGGAGAAAAAAGGAAGGAAGGAGAAAAAGAAAAAGGAAGGAAGGAGAAAAAGAAAGAAAAGGAAGGAAGAAGGAAGAAAAGGAAGGAAGGAAGGACAGAAGGAACGGGGAGGGAGGGAGGAAAAGAAAAAGAAGGAAGGAGAAAAAGAAAAAGAAAAAGGAAGGAAGAAAGGAAAGAAGAAGGAAAAGGAAGGAAGGAAGGAAAAGAAAGGAAGGAAGGAAGGAGGAGAAAAAGAGAGAAAGAAAGAAGGAAGGAAGGAAGGAGAAAAAGAAAGAAAAGGAAGGAAGGAAGGAGAAAAAGAAAGAAAAGGAAGGAAGGAAGGATGGACGGAAGGAGAAAAAAAAGAAAAGGAAGGAAGGAAGGAAAATGGAAAAGGAATGAAAGAAGGAGAAAAAAGGAAGGAAGGAGAAAAAAGAGAAAAAGGAAGGAAGGAGAAAAAGAGAAGAAAAGGAAGGAAGGGAAGAAAAGGAAGGACGGAAGGACAGAAGGAACGGGAGGGAGGAGGAAGAAAAAGAAAAGAAGGAAGGAGAAAAAGAAAAAGAAAAAAAGAAAAAGGAAGGAAGGAAAAGGAGGAAGGAAGAAGGAAGGAAGGAAGGAAGGAAGGAAGAAGAAAGAAAGAAAGAAGAAAGAAAGAAGAAAGAAAGAAAAGAAAGAAAGAAAAGTTAAGTTGCTCTCTCTAACTTGGTCCATGGGGTATTCTTCCCCCCCCCATCCCTCGTTCCCATTCCATTTAAAGAACAAAAAAAAAAAGTTTTCCGCCAAAGGAAGCTGAAGGGATTTTGAACAATAGTCCTGCAGCCAACTTAAGGCAAGAGGGGAGGCTGGAACTTGCTCTCAATTAGCATACAGCTGGATTGGTTAACCAGAGGGAGGCCAGGGATGTTTGGGAAGGGTGACTACAGCCAAAAACTTGGTTTAATCGCCCGAGACAAAGAGCAAAGAAACAGGGGAGACTCACAGAGTAGGAAAACAAAAGAGAAGTCCCTCCCCTCCTCCTCCTCCTCTCTTCCCCCCACCCCCCGCCCATCCTGGCCCTTTGTAAAAGACCCTCAATGCCCCGTCAAGACTTCGTCCCTGCAGATTCAGAGGTCAACCCCTATGATTTATAACGTGTCTTTCCATTAAACAAAAAAAACAACCCCATAAGTATGTGCAGGAAAAGAAACACAGAAAAGTTTATTGTCCTACAAACCGAGATAATTGTGCTGCGCCACCGTCTTGAAATAAACCATAAAACTAAACATAAACCACCGTTTGCGTGTTTGAAAGAAATTGCAAAGTCAGCAAATTTTGCACCCGGTGTCCAGCCAGGGGACAAGTAGCAGTAACCTCTCTTTACCTCTCTGGCCACAAACGGTTGCATCCTCCCCTCCCAACATTTATGCCTCCCGGTTGATCCCTGGCATTTTTCAGAGAAGCAGCTGGGGTATAAAGAAAATAAAACTTTTTTATAAAAAAAAATCAACAACAACCATGGCAGGCATGTGGATGAAGGCCTGGTTCATCCCCGCCTTCGTTCCATCTTTGCTTTTTTTGGCCAGGTAAGGTAAGCCATGAAGGTTCAGGTTAAGTCCTCAGCAGGACTACCCCTGGCTACAAAACTCCAGAAGGCAGCCGAACTCCTTGGCTCCCCTTGTGGCCATCTGGAGTTTTGCGTCTAAGTCCAGTAGGCCTAGTCAAGGATTAATAGCAATAACAATAGCATTTAGACTTATATACCGCTTCACGGTGCTTTCCAGCCCTCTCTAAGCGGTTTACAGAGTCAGCCTCTTGCCCCCCAACAATCTGGGTTCTCATTTTACCCACCTTGGGAAGGATGGAAGGCTGAGTCAACCTTGAGCCTGGTGAGATTCGAACTGCCAAATTGCAGGCAGCCGGCAGGCAGCAGAAGGAGCCTGCAGTACTGCATTCTGACCACTGCGCCACCATGGCCCTTCCTTCCTTCCTTCCTTCCTTCCTTCCTTCCTTCCTTCCTTCCTTCCCTCCCTCCCTCCCTCCCTCCCTTCCGTCCTTCCCACTTAGCACTTAGACTTATATACCGCTTTACAGTGCTTTTACAGCCCTCTCTAAGCGGTTTACAGAGTCAGCCTCTTGCCCCCCAACAATCTGGGTCCTCATTTTACCCACCTTGGGAAGGATGGAAGGATGAGTCCACCTTGAGCCTGGTGAGAATCGAACTGTCGAACTGCAGCTAGCAGTCAGCTGACGTAGCCTGCAGTACTGCACTCTAACCACTGTGCCACTTCGGCTCTTTAAACCGCCTTCCTGGTTATTTCAGCGTTTCTCGAAGGAAGCAACCGGGGTTTAAGGGCAAGAGGAGGACCAGGACTTCACTGGAATCGTGGCCGGCCTGCTAACCAGAAAAGGCCAGATTTTGCTGAAAACCCTTGAACGGGAATTTCATAAAAAAAAAGAAAGGAAAGGAAAGAGGGGGAGGGAAAAACCCATCATATTTACTAGATTAGATCAGGCCTGCCATCGCTAGCAACTCCGCACCCAAAAATAGCCTTGTGCTCATCCACCGCCTGCTAAAAATAACCCAAAGGGAGACCATTATATTTTCATTTGATTAATGCCCAGGCTGCTTATCCGGAAGATGCCAAGAATCAAGCCAACGCCTCTTCTTGGAAGCAGGAGAAGCCCAGCTGAGCTGCTCCGACAGGAAGAGAACCCCGCCTTGGCGAGAGGCCTCCAGAAAACTGGACTTCCCTCCCCAGAAACTCTGAAGGTCCTGAAATGATGGAACTGCCCAGAAACTTCCCCTTTTGAGGAGACGCATGATGGTGACAATCGGAACTTGTCTCTAGAAGTTGTGAAGGTTTTTCTAAAGAAGAGATTAGACAACCATTTGTCTGAAATGGTGTAGGGTCTCCTGCTTGAGCAGCGGGCTGGACTAGAAGACCTCCAAGGTCCCTTCCAACTCTGCTATTCTGTTATTCTCCACATGTGTACCAAGATGCTACACCAGAGTCAACCCTTGGTCAACCTCTGTCAGGCACTGAAGACCAAATGCCGGTGAAGATTCAATGAAACTGCTTTATTGCTAAAAGCCTCCGCGCAGGAATCTTCTCAACTTAACAGTAGACACGTGCTTGGAATTAGATAGGGTTCAAGGGCACTCAAGGTGGCCGGACTTAGTTCGCTTGTGGCTACTCGGGGATTCTAGGCCGATTCCTCTTTTAACTCCGCCCTCAGCTTCTGCCACTCCTTCTCCTACACCATCCATCTTCTGTAGATCTTCCAACCCTGCTTGGAAGAGCAACGGTGTCAGCACTTCAAGCTGCATTTACTCTAGTGCTGACATAAGAAGGAGAAGTGGAGGCGTCTGGAAAGGGGCGTTTGACTTTTCACCTACTTATTTTCCCTGGAGATAATATCCCCTAGGAGATGGGATGGGAGGGGGGAAATTCCTTTGAGCTGGAGCAGTAGATTCGGGGTAGAATGACTTGGAAGATAGCCAATGAGTGCAGAGGAGTGGGGAAAGGAAAAGGAGGGTTTTGGGTCTGGAAGTCACTGTTGGCTTCGATGGAGTCGGATTTTAGAATGCCGTGCTTAATAAATAGGAGTTTTCCTTCAAAGACTTCGTTTGAAATGCAATTTATTTGAGACGACCTCGAAACCTGACAGACGGTGTCCCACCAAACAGGGTCGGTTCCCTTTTAAGCAAGGCGACTTTCCCATGTGGAACTTGCGGTCTCCCGCTGAAGTTCTCCCCCCCGTTCCAGAGATACCACCAGACATGGCCGCTCTTGCTTCCTTGTCTCTCTCAAAGAAG